AGAAGCCGGAGTAGAGCCAATATGGAGCCAGAGCACAGGAGTGTGTCCGTATCACAGACGCACCACCGCCCAGAATATCGAGGCGAGAAGAAACAAAGAGGCTGAGCCAGGGAAACAAACCACCGAAACATGTGATTTCATGTGTTGTCCTGTGGCCAGAAACAGAAACACACATGAATTCATATGATGATCCCTGAAAAACAAACCCAAACACATGAATTCATGTGATGATGCCAGAACCAACAGAACGAAACACATGATTTCATATGATAGTCCACCAACGAGCAGAACCACGCACATGAATTCATGTGTCCTATGCACAACAGAACAATGCAATCACATGACATTCATGTGAACACAACAAAGCATTCGCATGATATTCATGTGACAAGGGATTTGTTCACATGATGATCACATGAACCACAAAAACAACACATGATGATCATGTGAACAAAAACGCCAACACATGAACATCATGTGACAAAACCGCCCGTTCACATGAATAACATATGAACCCAGGAGAGCAAACATATGAATTCATGTGTCATAATGTAAAAGAACCAAAGCCAACATGTGAATTCATGTGTCATAATGTAAAAGAACCAAAGCCAACATGTGAATTCATGTGTCTTAACTAAAAGCAGACCACACGCACACATGAATTCATGTGTTGTCCTGTGCCAAACAACAAAACGACACATGAATTCATATGTTGTCCTGTGCCAAACAACAAAACGACACATGAATTCATATGTTGTCCTGTGCCAAACAACAAAACGACACATGAATTCATATGTTGTCCTGTGCCAAACAACAAAACGACACATGAATTCATGTGTGGTCCTGTGTCAAACAACAGAACAACACATGAACTCATGTGTTATCCTGTGCCAAACAACAGAACAACCCATGAATCCATGTGTCATCCTGTGCCAGGCAACAGAACACCACATGAATTCATGTGTCGTCCTGTGACCACACCCACACACAATTATACTTAAGTGCATATCCCCCACACACATACATACATACATACATACATACATACATACATACACACGCACATACACACACACATACATACATATCTGCACACACACACACAACATAACACAAAGGATCCACACACATGAAACCACCCTCCCATCCAACACCACACCCACCCCAGCCACCCACCCACGCAGCCTCCAACCGGTAACCACCAACCACCCACATGCACCTTTGCCACCCCACCGCCCAAGCACCCAACCACCGAAGCAGAAAACCACCCAACCCAAACCCAAACCCAACCGCCCAACCCCAACCACCCAACCCCCAGCCATTCAACCGCCCAGCCACCCAACCACCCACCCCTAACCAACCCCCCAACCACCCCCAAAAGCTGGGGCCGCCAGCACCCCTCCCCCCACCCTAGCTTTACTCACTTTTAATGCAGAGACGAAGCCCCAGTGCTGGAGCAACATTGGTTTCTAAACTGTCAGACCCAAACCTATATATACACCTGGAACCCTCAATTACTTCTAAAAAGCGGAAACCCTGAAACCGACCCCCCTTCAAAAACAATATATATATATATATATATATATATGTGCATATAGATATAGGTATGTATATGTATCTATATGTATATATATATATATATATATACACATGTATGTATTTGTTTATTTATAAGCTCTAAACACCTTACACGATACACTTCGTGAAGACGTATTGTCTGGACAGACAAGATTAGAATGCGATTCCATGTCTGGACAGATACGGTCGCTAGAGATTGAGTGTGTCTGGACAGACAAGGAACTTTTCACGAGATTCATTAATGTCTGGACAGACAAGGAACAAGAGCAGACTGGAATCATAGTCTTTTTCATAGGAGAGATTTGTCTCAAAGAGATCGATATTCGAATAGGAGCATAGCTTGAGAGATCGAGCCATGAAGAAGCCTGCAGCAACCGTGAAGGCGGTCGGGAAAGTCGCAAAAGCCCTCTTGAAGAAGCCCGCGACGAAGCCTGGCCAGAACTTGAAGCCGGGCAAGAAGGTCGAGGAGGAGGTTGTCGACAAGGAGACAAAGCACGACAAGCAGCCGGAGAAGAAGAACAAGAAGCAGTCCACGAAGGAGCAGCCCAGCAAGAAGGACGAGAAGAAGAAGAACGACAAAGAGAAGAAGAACGAGAAGCAGCCCAAGAAGAAGAACGACAAGGAGAAGAACGACGAGCACGAGGACGACGAGCACGAGGACGACGAGCACGAGAACGACGAGCACGAGAACGACGAGGAGCAGGAGGACGACGAGGAAGGCCAAGAGGTCGATCCCGGAGAGATGGCTTTGGTGCCAGTCCAGAAACAGCCCCTGAGCTTGAAGAACATCAAGACTCACGCCGAGCTCTTGGAGGTGAAGGGCTGGTCGGGCAAGGACGTCTGGAACGCCTTTAAGATGTTGCCCTCGGGTGAACAACAGATGGTCTGGAAACTCTTTGAGAAAGGACGGCAAAAGGAGGGATGTGATGCATCCTACCGAGACCAGACAGCCGGTGCCGGTGGCAACAAGAGAAAGCAAGACATGTTGACGAGCTGGCTTCTTGATGAAGGGAAGTGCGGGGATTATTATCAGAAAGCATGCCTGCAGCTGACGAAGATGAGCTCGCGGCAGCTGAAGGTGTCTTGGGAGCCCTGGAAGGCCATGACGAATCGCTACGGCAAGACGGAGGCCTTAGCCCGCTTGAAAGCCGGAACCATGAAATGGAGAAGGTCGAAGACAGACAGCAACTTTTTGGAGTTCGCCAATGTGGTCGACAAGGAAGCCGAAGGCTTTGTGAAGCAAAAGAGCTGCTCAGTGGAAGGCCCCGACAAGAAGGTCAAGAAGGAGAGAGCTGCTGCCTTGGACAAGCTCACCTTCGATGAGCTCGAGGACATGGAGATGGTGAAGGGCATGAAAATCGACGCCGACTTGAAGGCTGTCATCACGAGGAATGCTGGCGGTGTTTCCGAAGACTCGAGCTCCTCCGAGAAGGATGACAGCAGCGACAGCAGTGACAAGAAGAAGTCGAAGAAGAAAAAGAGCAAGGCGACATCGTCGAAGAAGACTTCCAATGCTTCGAAGACGAAGAGCATGGATGATTGGGAAAAGTTGTCGCAGGTTGACGACACAGACAACAAAAGTGAGTTCAACAAAAAGTTGACCCTCTTCAAGTCCGAGCTGCAGAAGGAAGAGACCTTCTTCCAGATGCTGCTTTTGGAGTCTAAGCTCAAGAAGGACGAGAGGAAGAACGTCCAGCAGAACCTGGATGATCTGACGAAGACCTTGAAACAGGTGGGGGCGAGCATCGACAAGATCGGCAGCAAGGAAGCTGTGAAGAAGAGCCTCCTGATGGCTTTGACGACGTTGAAGGCTTCGAAGACCCTGAAGAAGAACTTGGCAGGCAAGAAGACCCAGACCCAGGACGAGAAGCTCAAGCGAAAGAAGGGTGAAACAAGTGAAGAGAGCTGAGCCCGCTGAGCCCTTTCGATGTGAGATCAATCGATTTTAACATAGTTTTCGGAACGGCTGAGGCAGACTGAAAATCGATCAGTCCTAGACCGAAGCCTGACAAACCTTAGAGCCGGCTGAGGCAGACTGAAACTTGATCAGTCTTAGACCGAAGCCTGAAAAACCTTCGAGCCGCTCTCGCTTCTAAGAAGACCGAGGCTCGAGTCGTGAAAAAAGCCTGCAGCAGGTTTGTACATATGCACTAGCTGAAGATTCCCATAGCATCAATGCCTGGACAGGCAGAATTTCGATCAAAATTGGCCCTTCCAAGCCTTAATGCCTGGACAGGCAGTACGTCGATCGGCACTTGCTGCACTTCCAAGCATTAATGCCTGGACAGGCAGAATTTCGATCAAAATTTGCCCTTCCAAGCCTTAATGCCTGGGCAGGCAGAATTTCGACCAAAATTGGCCCTTCCAAGCCTTAATGCCTGGACAGGCAGTATGTCGATCGGCAGTTGCTGCACTTCCACGCATTAATGCCTGGACAGGCAGAATATATTAATTGAATCCAGTGCTGCAGCCATAGAAGTTCGAGCAGTTTGGAAATGTAGATTCACCTAAAGAGGTGAAATGTGAGAGACGCCATGGCGAAAAAGAGAAAACATAGCCTTGATGAAGCCCCTTCGCCTCTGAAACTCTTGTTGCTGGAAGAGTTCGCTTTTGGGCGACTTTCGGCTTTGAAAGTGCAGAAAATGGCTGCAGCAGCAGCAGCGAGCTGCAAAGAACCCAGCTCAGACCTGCTGAGTTTGGCGATGCTGGGAGGACAAGGCAGCAGTGCTCAGAACTGCCACAGAGACTTGATGAAGATGCTGAGCTCTGGCAGAGCGCCAGAGAGCACTTTGATCTACACCCCTGTGTCCTTGAGAGACAAGAAAACTGGTGGTGCCGTGGTGGAGCCGAAGCAGGTGCCTCTGTTTCTTCCCCACGAGTGGTTCGATGTGCTGGAGAAGAACGAGTTGCTCCAGATGTTCACTGCAACTTGGTGAGTACTTTGAACTTTGAGTTTTTTGTGTTTTCAAGGAATTATATAAGGATAAAGCTTAACTTTTTAGTGAGTACTTTGAACTTTGAGTTTTTTGTGTTTTCAAGGAATTATAAAAGGATAAACTTTTTACGTGGGTATATTGGAGAAGTATGAGGCGACAGAGAAAGAGATCCGAAAGTTTTGGCAATGCCAAGACTTTGAGACAAATCCACAACTCTTGAGAAGCAGAGACTACTGGCGAAGCTTCAATGTCATGGAAAAACTACCGGTTCCCTTGATCCTTCACGGCGATCACGCTTCTTTCAGCGAGACAGATTCGCTCCTGATAGTAAGCATACGATGCATGATAACCAAGAGATCGATTAAGACCTCGGAATTGTTGATTGCTTCGTTGCCGAAATCAGCGAATGCCGGGTCCTGGACAGCTTTGTGGGAAAAAATCTCAGAGAGTTTGACACGACTGGCCTCGAGTCACAAAGCTGTGGTCATGGCTTTGGTCGGAGACCTGGAGTTCTTTGCACAAGAGTTCGGATGGCCCACGGCGAACAGCAACGAATTGTGTCCATACTGCAAATGTGATAATAGATTCAAAGATGCAGATGCAGTCGCCCCGTACAACGACTTTAGAGCTGGTGCTGAGTGGAGAAGGCAGCCGAGAGAACCAAGAGAAAATGAACACCCTTTGTTCAAAGTTCCTGGGATAAATTTTTGGTCCCCGAAACTCGATGTGTTGCACATGTTAGACCTGGGAGTCAGTTCGCATGTTTATGGAAACTTGATCAACGACATCTTGGAGGACCACCTGCCTGGGAACTTCGGTGCATCCCTTGGAGCTTTGAATGCAAGAATCGTGGAGCTGTACGAGAGTCGATCGATCCCAGCGAATGCCAGAATCCCGAAGCTGAGCAAAGGGAACATTCATGGTCAGACTGGGTACCCGTGCCTGAGCCATGTGAAAGGGCGACGAATACGCCAGTTCTCGAGTGTGGCTGTGGATCTGGCAAACTTGTACAAGCACACAGACGCAGGAAAACATCGTTTTGAAGCAGTGAAAGCCCTGGACGAGATTTACGAGCTGTGTGACAACCAGAAGTATAAGTGTGACAGAAGGGAGCAGCTTGCATGCATGTGAAATAATATGAACTTTGAGCTTTTTGGTTTTCCCGTAAAAGTATAAGGCAGATTGTTCGTTTTCATATATATTGGATATCAGGCACAGAAAGATGGAGAAGGAGATTGACAAACTGCTCCTGCACTACACTTTCTTGAGCAGAGATGCTTTCGACAGAGGAAAGAAGAGGTACAGTGTCACCCAGAAGTTCCACCTGACGGCACATTTTCATCTTCAGTGTCAATTTATGACACCAAGACTTGCTTGGACCTATGGTCCTGAGAGTTTCACGTCGGTTTGCAAGAAGATCGCTGCCTCATGTGATAGAGCAACTCCAAGCTACCAGATTCCACTGAAGATTGCTGGAAAATTCGCATTAGCTTACGAGCTCCTGCTACGAGGATGGCTGAATCTGGATGAAGATGAGGAGTGAGGAAAATAATTCTGCTTGTCAGGGTTTACTAATGTCTGGACAGACAAGTCGGATGAAGATGAGGAGTGAGGGAAATAATTTTGCTTGTCAGGGTTGAATAATGTCTGGACAGACAAGTCGGATGAAGATGAGGAGTGAGGGAAATAATTTTGCTTGTCAGGGTTGAATAATGTCTGGACAGACAAGTCGTGCATGGTGCATCTTGTGTTCCAGCCTCGTCAGGGCTGAATAATGTCTGGACAGACAGGTCGTGTGTGTTCTAGCCGCATGTCAGGGCTGACTAATGTCTGGACAGACAGGTCGTGCATGGTGCATCTTCTGTTTTAGCCACCCAGACCATCAAGGGTCCAGACTCTGGAATCTAAACCCATGTTAACCCTTATATATATATATATACATACTTTAAAGAAAAAGGTCTGTCCAGACCCAGACTCTTTAAACCCTATGAAACCCTAAACCCTAAAGCAAAAAATTATCCCGAATCTGTCCAGACTCTTTAAACCCTAAAAACCCTAAAACAAAAGGTCTGTCCAGACCAGGCATCAAGAATCTGTCCAGACTCTCTAAACCCTATGAAACCCTAAAACAAAAGGTCTGTCCAGACCAGGCATCAAGAATCTGTCCAGACTCTCTAAACCCTATGAAACCCTAAAAAAAAAGGTCTGTCCAGACCAGGTATCAAGAATCTGTCCAGACTCTCTAAACCCGGAAGAAACCCTAAAACTATAAAGGTCTATCCAGACCAGGTATCAAGAATCTGTCCAGACTCTTTAATAAACTTTAATATACACCCTACACATAATAACCTAGATACGAAGCACCAAACCCCAAACCCAGAACTCCTAAACCCCAAACTCTTTTAGGCCCTAACCCTATATGTATAAACGCAAGTAACCGGAAACCCTGAACCGCAAGCCCCCGGCATGAACCCTAAAGCCCACACCCCTACACCCATATAGGCCCTAAATTCTATGCATATCTATATATACAGGTATATATATATATATACATAGATAGATATGTATATATGTATATGTAACCTTATATAAACTTCAAACCCTTAAACCCCAAATTATAGGCTCTAATCCCGCCAGCCCATAATTTTCGGACCGCCAAACCCCGGCCTAAACCCTATAAATCTCGAACCCGGAACCACGAAAGTCAAAACCTGCAGCCATCGAGCTTGACCCTGAAATAAAAGATGATATCATATATATATATATATATATATATATATATGTATATGTATATGTATATGTGTATATATATATATAGACACACACACATATATATATATATATATACACCATATCGGTATGTATGTACATACATACCTATATGCATACATACATAGATGCATATATACATATATACATATATACATATATACATATATATATATATGAGGCAGGAACCTTTACGTATAATGTGATTGATTCGGTCGGTTATACAGTGTGAACACTCAGCCCGGTGTAACATACAATGCACATCCCTCTGTGCTCTTACCTGCATCATGAATGCACCTGGGTTGTACTCCAATGCTCGGAAGCCTGAACTCCAACTGCTCACACAGCTCGGCTTGCACCCTCTTTGCGACATCATGCTCATTAGATCAGATACAAGCATTGGTATCATCAGGACTTCAAAAGAAGGCATGAAGTGACAAACCCCACAAAAGGGTTGATGGCTGACAAACCACATATAAACATCCTGTAAGAGGCTGTGGAATGGCAAACCGTCAAAGGAGATGATGGCTACAGTCCCAGAAGGTCTGATGTGGCCCACCCTGCAAGCTGATTTGTCGGTGAGCCGACATACGTCGACATCATGCTCAATAGATCAGATACAAGCATTGGTATCATCAGGACTTCAAAAGAAGGCATGAAGTGACAAACCCCACAAAAGGGTTGATGGCTGACAAACCACATATAAAATTCCTGCAAGAAGCTGTGGAATGGCAAACCGTCAAAGGAGATGATGGCTACAGTCCCAGAAGGTCTGATGTGGCCCACCCTGCAAGCTGATTTGTCGGCGAGCCGACATACGTATCACGTCGCCCTCCCTTATGGCCACCTCAACAGCCACAGTTGACATTGGGCAGCATCACGATCCCGGCTAACATCTGGCCTCTCCCAACAACTGGCAATGTAACTTGCATCCACCCCGGCCAACAGTCCCAGGCCGGGCTGTTGCGTCGGCCATTTTCCAGCCTCCAAATAAGCTGTGATCCCAAGAAGGCCACCAACACTGCTATGCTGACAACATGCGCCTCCCGATGATGATCGTCGTACACCGGCATGCGTAGCAAAGGCGGCACAAAATCCGATATGGCAGTATCAAATGCCGGAAACAACTTTTCAATCTCAGACACAGCATGCCCTACCAACCGAGCATGTCACACGAACAACTTTCTTTCTCTGAGCGCACTCAGGATGCCAGCGTCACCGTCACCTACGGACCCCTTGTGTGCGCAGCTTCGATCTTCGAGCTGCAGTGAAAATGGTCCGCTTCTGCTTCTGCCTTTTTGACGCGGAGGGCCGCTTGAGAGCCCACGTGCGCACTTTACGCACTTCTGCGGCACGTTCGTGAGTAAACGATAAGCATGCCTTCTGTACCTTCTCAGATTCCAGGCATGACGAGCACCACCGCTGCCATTCTTCTTGAGACCACACTGACTTAGCAGTGAGCCTTGCGAGCAGAAGTCTGCTGTTCGTTTGGCTGATGGTTGATGCTTGCAATGCAAGCGCATGAGGCAGAGCTTTGCTCAATGTCAATATCAGCAGCTTCAAGCGCAGAGTGCTCTTATGAATCTGCTGAGTTTGCAAGAACCATGACTTAATTTCGGCATGCAAGGCTTCATTGGATGAAGTGCCGGCCGGAAGGAACGTCAAGGCTTTTCGACCTGTTGACGCAGCACTAGAACTAGTACGAAGGTGGACACATACTCATGCCAACGTTACCTTGCTAACTAAGGCCGTGACTCAGCGTGTGCCTGAACCGCTGGTTGTTGAAGTACCATTCAGCACGATCAGGATCAGCAGCACACCAGAGTATGTGGGAGATGCATTGATTGGCTCCAGTTACCTTGCGTCCCATGTCCTCGTTGAAAACCGCAGCCAGTGCAGCCAACGCTTCAATGAACTCCAGTCTGCAAAGAAAGGGCTTCGAGCTGTCCATCTCCGCTACAATTTTACGAGCTTTGCCTTTGGCAAAAGCACCGGTTTCAATGTAGGTTCTGCGCGTCTGTTCCTGCTGGCTAAGTTGACGGCTATCGTAGCCTCTGTAGAAATGACCCCAGTGCTGAGAAGGAAGACTTGCATCCACCATGTTGAACTTGTGCATGATTTTGCGGAGGAACACAGCGCCTGGCGTTTTTTTCCGCCATGTCGCATACCTGAGCACATGTGATGGTCTACCCAAGCTTGCAAGCTTGACTGTGACATCTCCTACAAAGTCGAGGCTAGCTGCTCGTAAACGATGCAGAGGTGGATAGGATCAAGCGCCAGACACTGTAGGTTGGGCATAATGCACTTCAACTCGGCATAGAGCTTGGTTGAGGCACAATCCGATGACAGGAACTGCACTTGACCAAGCCCATCCGCCGGAAGCATTTCCGACAGGGCCATACAGACATCTTCAGCCTTTTCTGATGCCATCGCACACATGCCAAGCACGGCACTTGTACGCCCTCTGACCGTAAGAACCCGCCTGAACGCATGGTCGTCGTCGAACGGGGCCTGATCTCTTTTTGCTTTAGGTGCGCGGTAGGATTCTTGCCCAAGAACTCCCATGCAACATTTTATGGTTGCATCGATAGAGATAACTTGAAACTCCCTCAGGTCGCGGAAGGTGGTCAGCAGCTTGACAGTCAGAGAAGCGACTGCTGGCGATGTAAAGACGTCTTCGATGATTGGCCACCAGTGCCGGACATCCGTAGGCAACAAAGAGGCCAACTGTGACCCTCGCGCCATGATGGAAACGAGGATCCTGGGTTTCGCCTTGCGGGGCGCAAAAGACAACAGCCACTGATCACAGAACATCTTTACTACAACACAAGAACATGTGTTCTGTCGTTGCTAAACTTGGCCGGCTACAGTCTTGCACTTCGCATGGCATAGCAGAAGCTCCTGGTAAACAAGGTCCGCAAACTCATGGGTGTAGTAAAGGTTCCTGACTCGCCTCACATTGGAACTTTGCAGAGACGATTGTGCCCAGTACTCAGGTCCTCGACCGGTCAGCACCAAGCGGATTTCACGATCAATCTCATTGGCCGTGTGAGACAACGCTGGAGCGACCATACTTCTCAGTAGCTCCGAGCTTCTGGCCAAATAGTTCCCACGAGCACATCCCTGGATCTGGTCGTGATCGAACAAGGCACAACAAACCTTCAATTGCTTCGTGCCACTGCAGATAAACTGGCGTGCTTCCGTGTGATATCTGCAAATGTGCTCCTGCAACCTGGATGGTGCTTGGAACCGCCTGAACGGACACAGTGGGCATCGATGTACTCTGCGTCCCACTGTGTTTGCACACCGCTCGACCTCTTGCCGAAGCTGCGTGAGCAAAGAGTCACCAACTCTGACCACGACTTCGTCCTCATCTTCGTCCATCACATCACATTCATCTTCGGAACCAGGATCAGGACCTACACATTCGCAAACGTCCTGGAGACATTCTGACCATTCCTCCTGCAGCTCGCCGGCACCTGCGTGCAAACCCAGCAGAATAGAGCAAGCAGATGCATCTGCAGCGGCATCGGGGTCAGGTTCGGCATCTCCAACGATCTGGAAGGTTGCAATGGTACTGGAATCCAGCGATGCTGCGCCGAACTGGATCAGCTCAGACGTGTTCATTCTGGTCTTGTACACGCCGTCCCAAATCTCCACCAAACCATTGTCTCGGATGTGGCAGCCGAGGCAATGAGGATTTCCATCATGCTCTGAGTGCAGCAAATATTGGCCAGCACCCTCTAGCCTCAAGCCGTATCGCGGCGCGACTTGTATGGAAAGCTCTTTCAACATGAAGCTGTAGCATCGGGAACCAGTCCTTTTTGCGGCAGCATTCTTGTGGTCTTTCTTGTTGAGAACCTTCATGACATCTTCCAGTCTGTCTGGCAGCAAGCGAACGAGAGCAAGAGGAATGCAATTCCCTTGCGCTAGAAGCTCTTCGTGCTCGACTGGAACTTCTGAGCTCTCAGGAGGCGATCGGCATAGCTCTCTAAAGAAAAAGTGACGCTTCTCCACGACACTGACGTCGAACTCCGTCTTCTCTCGGATGGCCTGCGTGGCCTCATCGCAGAGAGTCTTCACATCGACGGCGGGATCTATCCCACCCACTCTGATGCCGTCGAAATGTAGTGAAACATGTCGCGGACGCCGTCCGCACAAACTTCGGTCCCAGGCATCGAGAACACAATCTTCAACTGCCGCATACATGTAGAAAAGGGTCGAAGCCTGCGGATTCGGCTTGTCTGGCAAAGTCATGACTCGCTGGAAGACATCAGGCAGCAGAGAGCACGCAAGCCACTTGCAATAGATTGCAGCCTTCTGGAGTTGCAGCAAGAACGCATTGCTGGCATGGGTAGCAGGTATACCGGAACCGAAGAAAATCTCGTGCAGCAACTTCTTGCCGTCCTGAACGGAAACCTTCAGGTCGTTTTTACAAATTTCATCTCTCTTGGTGGCACATTCATCCATTGTCTTCAGCACATGCTCTGGAATTGTGGAATTGACATTCAGCTTGTGCAATAACTGAGATAACAGCACGAACACAGCATTCTGAATGTCTAAGTCATGTGTGTCAGGACAAAGAATACGCTGCATGCTGCGAGAGAACTTCTGCGCTGCCAAGCCCTGCACATAAGCTCGCGTACGCACAAGGCCTTGAAAACAGCGGTTATAAGAACAGTCAGGAGTCTCGATGCGTGAGCCAGGAGTCTTGCCAGTTCGTCGCCTCTTGGCGATAGTCTCCTGCTTCTCTTGCTGGGCAAGGAAACTTGCAAGTGTTTCTTCACGGTCCGACATTTTCTTGGATAGCTTTTCCAGTGAAGCAATCTCGTCGTGCCGAGCAGCGCTCTGCTTGCCTGCTCTGCCAGGCTTCCTGAGGTGCTTCGCCACAGCACCCAGGTATTTGATGATCGTGGCTACGTTTGCTTCTCTGCCACCATTGCCTTGTATGTACTTTCTGGCTGCGTCTACATCATGCACTTCTTGGTGTAAGCACTCGTCTGTATCTATCTGGAGAGGGACGACCTCACTCAATGGCCTCCCCACGTCTACGAAAGGGATTACAGCATCCTTGTACTTCTCGCTTTTTTCGATGACAGGCAGCAAAAGTTTGCGTTCAAGTAAAGCCTTCCACATCATCTCTCTGTCAAGGTTTGTAGGATGGTTCGCTGGCAACTTCACATACTTCCACATGCCCTTTGTCATCGGATTCCTGTTCGTTTGGAGGCAATATTCTTGGATTGCTGCAGCGACATTCCTCAGCTTCTGGATCAACTCCTTCTCTTCGTCCTGGCTGCTTGGGTCAACTGGAACTGCAAGCGCAGGCTCCGGCTCGCTTGAACGATGACGTGGAGGCAAACCGCATGCTTCCCTCATAGAATCCTCCGTCAGAGGCTGGCTGGCGAGGTCCTCAATCATCTGCCTGCAATCTTGTGGCCCATGACTTGTCTCGAATGCGTGCTGCAATCGCAGAGCAGCTGCCACACAAGGTGGGCTCTTCAGAAACGCTTTGAGTTCCTCATCTTTCTTGAAGTAGCCGTCTCGATTCGCATCGGGATACGGGCCAGCAATGATGGCCTCATCGATGAACCGTGCCTTTGGGTGCCACACACAGCCTCGTCTGTTAGCCGATGGGAAATTTCTCTCACAGACATTTGCAAAACGAATCATGCTGTTTACTTCGTACCTCTTCCATCCAACTAATTCGATCATCCGCGTCTGTAGACCATACGGCCTTCGGCCAGCAATCCCGTCGGCCGACATGGTTTTTTTGAACAGGTCCTCTCGCATCCGGCGAGAGTTCTCGGGCTTCTCCTGCGCTGTCAAGATGAAGCAACCAGCCGACTGCTCGATTTGCTTCCTCATCTCGTGCTCATCGTACCAAATATTCGGGTCGATGAAAGCGTGATTCGGAGCGTAGACTGCGTGGAGATGGGAACTGTACAAGGATTGCCCGACACCTGTGCAATATCCAAGAGCACGCAAGTAATGAACTACTATACCGAACACAGGAAATCATTACGCGGTCAAGATTTGCAGGATCTTATTTACACCGAACACTCACTTGTTGCTGGCCTCCCGGACTTACTCCAATGAAGCATCGCACGATGTTCTCACCTCTCTTGGCTAGCGCGATGGCCGCTTGATTGCAAGCAAAGACCTGGACAGTGGAGGAAGGCGTGTGGTCACATTCATCAAAGCATCAAAGGCTGCTGCTGCACCGCATGCATCAGAAACTAAAATTCATCTACCTGAACTACACTACACAAACTTGTGTAATAAAGGACTCCCAGGCACATCGTTGTTCAACCAGAAGGTCTCCGCATAGAACTTCTCAAGCCTGTCACTTGCAGCTTGAAAAGCTGGGTCGCCGATGTTGCTCAGCAGCGGATGCGGAATGTGAACGTATATGTTGTCCTCAGGCACCCCCCGTGCAGGCACAACGTGCTGACCAGGAGCTGTGTCGTAAAGCATGGCACAGTCGGTGTATGATACTCCGGCAGCTCGTGTCTGTACACTCTCGCACCATTCCACCACAAGATTGAAAATCTTGTCATCCAGGAGTTTATTTTGCAATGAGCCACATGCTCTGGCAAGAGAGTCTGCGGTGCCTTGACAGCGAGACGTAGGGCCTTCCTGCGCATGCCCATCTTGCTGTGGCATGTCTTCATCCGCTTCGAGCGCCCGCGATGATCGGGCCTGGCGGCCCTTGACGCTGGGAATGTGGTTTTTTGCTGCGTCCTCGCAAGCATTCAAAAGATACTGGGCGGAGCTGTTCTGTGCGACAAACAGGCGATGAACCTGATCCAAGACGTCACCGTCGGTGACCAGACGTGGCGAACCCATGAGGCGGAACAAGCCTTCCAAGCGAAGAAAGAAGCGCTTGCATCTAGCAAGTGCACCCTGTGGCGGAACTCCTCTATGCACTGTAAAGGCACCATTGTGGAAAAAGTAAATATTCCCGTGATGACATCTCATATGTGACTCGCCTTCGACGATCCACAAGAGCATGATCAGCTCTCGCAGATGTATGTCAGTGAGCCTTAATCTGTATACGGCCACAGCGCCAACGGTCACGCGAACGAGCTGCTCGTCCATATCTGGAAATCGGTGCAAGACCTGTCGGCGGATTCGTGCCACATGCTCAGGAATGCTTGACTCCTCCGAACTCTGCATGGGGACGATGTCTTGCAGCTTCTGATCTGCAAGAGCCCGAAAACTTCGAAACGTTTTTGCGAAGCTTTTCATCGTGTCGGAAGCCCCTGGCAAATTACGTCTTTGCCTGGCTTGTTGGAGCAAGCTGTTTTGTTTGCCAACTTCATCATCCGCCAACATGGCTTCCAGTTCCTGCGTCAGCCGTTCGTCTTGCTGCGCAACTGCTTCTGTTTCCGCAACAGGCTGATCACCTGCCTGAGACTGATGGCTGGCAACTGCTTCTGCTTCCTCTTCATCAACTCTCTCCCCGATTGCTGGCATGTGAGTTTCCTGGGATGCACAAGCTGAACTGTTGGCCAGACCTGAAGCAGCCGCTGCCCCGCAGGCCATAGTGACTTCTTCGAGCGCGGTTGCGCCGCCGAGCACGTCGATCACTGTCTCTGCACACGGAGCACATAAAGCTGCAGGCCCCGCAATCTGTATGTGCCTGAAGCAAAACCAATGTAGACACTGGTCACACAACAGGCAGCTACGGGTGGAAAGCCGGCTCGTGTACATGCAGGAGTGACACTTGATGACGCACTGCTCCTCGATTTTGCTTGGTAAAGCTCGCATAAGAAAATCGTCACGCCCTGAGTTTGGCAAAGCGAAAATCTTTGCGAAAAATATTGAATGAGGACCGGGGCCGGAAGGTGTTTGCGGCCGCAGCTGCAGACTTGGTTGTAAGCATCCGTCAAGCCAAATTGTCAGCCTGCGTTCTGACCATGCCACTTTCACATGGTGTGTTGCACTTGCTGGGAGCTGCGGTCCCCGCTGGCAGGTCACCGGCATAGGTTGTTCTCCGTACATACTGTAAGCAGCAGACATTGATTCCCGAAACGGGCGCTGAAACCTACAGTATGTGCTCCGAAACATACCAGTACGCACGTCAGTCCCACGCACGCCCACGATCAGTGCAGTGGCGGGATGCTTCATAGTGACAGAAAACTCGGCCTGGCCGAAAAGAGGGCGGGATGATTCCCAAAGATAGCTTGTCAATGTGCTGAGAACGTCTTGTGCTGCCTTGTACTCCAACTGCCAGCCAATTCGCATGTTCTGAAGCATTTGCGGCATCTTAGAGAGCCGCCCAGATGGAAGAACCACTGCATCAGCTCTGGACCACAAGCTAACCAGACGTGCCGCACGGAGAAACTGTGCTAAGTTTGGGCCTCGTGGTTCCATGTCAATTACTTGGCCCTGCCAAGCATTAGGGTCCAGCACTGCGCGGCGACAATTGCGAGAGCACGCTTGGAACCTCTGCAAATAATCTGGACATGCAAAGCAAGTTGCCAAACTAAGCAGCACGTCTTGAGGTAGATCTGCTGCGTATGCGGAGCCACCTGAGACATCTCCTGGCCTGTCAGAGTCTGGAAACCCACTGTCCACATGTTGTTGGTGAAGGTCCTGCGGGAATCCGGGAAGCTGTGGCTGCTCGACCTGATCAAAGTTGGCCGACGCCTTTCCTCCCACGTAGTCCAGCAGAATGTTCGGACAACGCGGGCACAGTCTCGCTGGAGATCTCTGCACATGATGTCTGCATATCCAAGTGCCGCAATCAGGACAGACAGCCCATCGCAGATCACGGATGCCAAACTCCCGCGCGCACACAGCACACTTCACTTCTGCACTAAGCTGTATGAATGACGGCAAAGGCTTCAAGTTCGCTTCAGCACCCTGGGCATCGGGCCTGCAATACACCCAAACGAAGACCTGGGCAAGCGCAGCTGTCAATGGCTGCTGACGATTACTGACAGAAGATACACCATCGCCGTTCAAGCATATCTTGAATGAGTGCTGGTTCCACTGCATGTGGAAGCGATTGACAGCATCAGGTAGTATTCGGTACCGTTCTCTTCCGGGATGAGGCTGCATTGGGCGGTCATTGAAGCCGAAGGACCATGTGGTATCGTTACGGAACAGATTGTCGACCCTGAAGTAACTTCGACGTTCCTCTCCTTGCCACTGACGGACGCCAATGTAGATGCCCGAAACTCGACGTGGCAGCCATAAATCGAAAGCAGCGTGACCCAACAAGGGATTGTCCGACAGAAAGCCGACCACCCGGTTGCCCGTTGCCCGATGCCGAACCACAGCATTCACACGCCAGACTATGCAAGCATTTGCAGGCACACTTTGGAACATGACCAACTGTTTCGTCGCGATGGTCAGACTGCGAGCTGCAGCACAGACAGGTTGCAATTGTCGCAGTACCTGCTCGTCATGGAACTCTTCACTGTCCATCGGAATGCAACAGTTTCTGCAATGCTCCAGCCTTCGCATGGATCTGAACACATGAGAGCATGTGCAGGCGAGCGCCTGAAGATATGGAAGAGAAAAGAAAAAGGCTGGAAGCTGATTCAACACGTCTTGTGGCAGGGATCCACCGGGAAGATCTGCGGATGTTGAAGTCCCACCGGCAGCTGTTATGTCCACAGTGCTCCAGCGGCGCCGATCCCGAGCATCACAGCATCGAGGACAATACACCGCGAGAAAGCCGACCATGGCACCGAGCCAGTCGCGCAACGAAGGGTCATCCACAGAGGGGTGTGGGATAAGACCTTCCATTCTTCTCTGTAGATCTGGGTTACTCCTCAGCATGGAGTGAACGAACATATAGATGACATAGTTTTTCTGTTGATATTTCTCCGCAAGGAGTTTGAGCAGCGTCCTGGCGGTGCACATCGTCTTTTCCCAGCATCGCTTCGATGCAGCCTCGAAGTCCCGTTCATTAGGCAGCAGAGCCACGGCCTGTGGGTAGCACTCGAAGAAAGCGGTGAAGGAATGAAGCACGCCTGACCTGAGCCGCTGTCGTTTTGCGCTTCTTCGATCTGCCCCACATTTGCAATCGCGCCATGCAGCCATCATCGCATCGGTCGCTTGCGCCAATCTTGGCACAACGCGCACGAACGGCGAGTCGCCATGTTCCGGGTGACAACACACAACGAACATTTCGGACACACTCGCGTCGTAGTACTTCTCCAGAATGTAGCGATAAGCATTCAGTTGGAGATCATAGTGCACTGCTTTTGTGTCCTGCAAATCCTGCAACGGTGGCAGCATCTTGCGTGCGCGATGGGCTGACGTGTCTGCACCCAAGCCTGATGTTCGTTTCCAGTCGACCAACAAGAAAGTGCCATCGCTGTCTCTCGCAACAAAATCGATGGATCCAGCCAAATCCTCGTCTTCGCCAAAGATGACCCACTCGGTACGCCATGCAACGCAGGTAGTTGGCATGCTCGCGAGAAATTTGCACATCATGCGCAATTCAGGTGAGTCTGGCACGCTGTGACCGTTGAGATAAGCTTCGAAGATGTAGTGCATGTACGTGCCATAGTGAGCAGCTTCGGCGCCACGGGCCTTCCAAACTTCTTTGATGGTCTGTGCACTCAACGTCAATGCGCTTATCTCAACCTCAATGTCGAAATGCAGGCGGAGCCGTTGTAGGACTTCGCAAATGCGGACATCATCTCTGGGTCGACCTGCAAGCATATGGAGAAGCTCAGGGGCCAAGAGGTGCAACTTGTGAATGCTGCCAAAGGTGATGTCCTCCTTTAGATAGCCGGCCCGAGGCCACCGATGGCCAGCGCACATGGCTGCAATGACAGCGTCGGCGTCGAAGTGGTGGCCGAAAGTGTGGATCATGCTCGTGACGGAGCCCTGTGTTTTTTGACTGTCGATGAAATACATGTGCTCCTGCTGGAAAAACTGCACCCGCAAATCTCGTGGGTGAGGGTGCAGGTACTTTAGGGCATCAACTTCTGTTGCAGTCAAAGCCACAAACTCTTCCGGGGTCAACGGAATCTTTATCTGAGGACTGTGCAGAAGCTTCGGGAAGAAGCCATCCATGACTGCCATCCGTCTTCCTTTGGTCTTGTAAGCATCGAACTTGGACTCCAAGCAGCGCAGTCTCTGGGCAGTCGTCATGGGATTTGTCTCTGGCATGGATCGCTTCTTGCTCGTTAGGCGAAGCGCCAGAGAACCTCCGAGAGCATCACTGCTGCCTGCAGACTCTCTGGAGTTCAACTGCGCCAATGTCAGGGATGAAACAGTTCGAGCCCTGGCACGTTCGTACCAATCTGGTCGGAGATCCCAAAATCCCTCATCCTCACAGTCGCTCGCACCTTCAACCGCAAAGCTGGACACTCTTCGTAGGCTCAGTATGTCATGATGCCGCGGAACCGGTGCATGGATGGAGGACTCATCGGCGCTGCTTCCATCCTGATCAAGGTCATATGAGAAATCTCCACCTGCCGACGAACTTCGCGATCGGGAGTCATTGTCATTGTGCAACGGGAACTGCACATTCATGTAGGAATCCTGAGCTGAAACTGGAAAGTGATCAAGAATGCCCGCAATTTCCTCCATGGCCGAAGTTTCGGCTTGTTTGCCTCCGGACACGTCAGCACCACCCACAGAAGTATGAAGATCAGCAGGTACGACTTGAAAGAACCCATCGCACAAGGACATGTCCAGACACCACAAGTTCAAGATGTGGTCATACTCGAAAGCTCTGCTGATAGTGGACCGCAGTGCCAGAGGTACCCAATTGTGAGTGCGGTTCCCGAAGTTGACCTGCAGCCCATCATCAACGGTTCGGCGGACAGCAACGAAATGTTCGTCGTGAGCCACAATGAACTTTGCATCGCAAACCGTCAAAATGTCAGAGCTGCATGGAACGATGTTTCGCCTTGGTCGGAAAAGGCAAAGACTGGGACTGTGTTTACCAAGCAAATGGCCTCAAACGAAGCTAGCACTCGGATCCCAGCTGGAAGCTGTCAAGCATTCTTCGGCCATCCTATCGCTGTCGCATCGACACAAAATCTGGGACAAAGGTGTATGTATGTCGGCACACTGGAAGAGAAGACTCATAGTCCTTCAGAGCGTAGAAGGGCCCGTGCTGCTGGTAAGGGACCTTCATGCCCAGGGCCCGGAAAGTATCCACCAAGCAATTGTCTCGAAAACGATCGTGACCTCACCAGCAATCAGGCATCAAGACGCAGACCTGACACGGCTCTGACCATACATTGCTTTACTTGTGAATGCAGTGAAGCCACGCTCTGGCGGTTGCTGCATCATGATTGCCTGGAGCTGCAGTTGGCTCCTGCGACGTGAAAGAGGCCACACAAGGTGTGCTGTCTATGGGATAGTGAGTTCAATGAGTTCTATAGCCCTAGCCTGGTCAGCTTATTTCGCGATCGCATCTTCACTGGCCCGCACTTGCGCGCAGCGCCTGTCAATCAGAACCGGTACAAAACTCAAACAAGACTCATGCCGCGTGCCCAGCTGTTAAGAAAAGCAGCAAGGATACTTACCAGCGAATGCAGCTAAGATAACCACACCTCGTGATGCCATTTTCTGATCTGCAAGAAACTGTGGCCATATCGAACAGCGAAACTTCTCGCTCTGATTTCGCCATCGCATCTTCTCCACCAGCGTCTTCATGAAGCCGTCGCCTAAGCATCGTTCACACAGATACGGCTGCTATAGCCATCAGCAGGCAGGCACGACGCTTGTAGAGATCTGGTGTATATGAAAGCCAGGTAGCTCCATGGGGCAGTTTTCTGCCAACGACCACAATACTTCTTGCCGAAGTGAACGTTTTCCCCTCGACTTGAGACACTGAAGATTCTGGAAGGGAAGAAGGCTGCAACGCAGACGCGAGCAGAGAAATCGGAGCATCACATTGCATCTCTTCTGTCTACACAGCTGGCTGGGAGTCTGAGTACCCAGCAGACATGCTCGCCTGGATAGTCACACCCTGTCTGCCACTGCCTCGCAAGCCACGGGCGCCGGAACTGAAACTGCACTGTGCCTGAAGTCCTGGTTACCTGGCAGCTGCAATCTTGTACTGGATGGACAAAACTGCTTTGGCAAGCTGCCTCCTTAGTGCATTTCTGCAGGGCTGCTATCGCATTAGCAGCACAGACGTAATGAGCCTCTCCTTCTCACTCTCTATACGGCCTCTCTCTCTGCTGGCCAGCGATGCATCTCTGCAGTGGTCACACCTTGCGCTGCCAGGAAACGGCGTCGTCTCGTTGCACGTTTTCTGCCTGGCGCAGCTGCTCAGCAACTGTGTAGCTTAAGATGCTCAAAGCGGTGTGTCCAACCGCAGTGGTTCACAGGGGCTTGGGCGACGACGTCTTCGGCAGCAAGACTTCGCCGGATGCAGCGTTGACCCTCGGAACTTGATATATGTATGGAGTAGAACTTACCTGCGACGCGTTGTGCCGGGAGGCATTTCAAAAACCGTTTTCGCCTTGAGGTTCTCGACCATGTCTGGCCTCGCGCTGCTCCCGCACAGGATAGAGTTGTCACTTGCAACTGAGTTTGCCAAGGCGGAGGCGTGTCCTTAACCCAATGTCCATCACCATCGAGGCGCCCTTGTAAGCTTCATGCCCATGAACTGACATGGCTAGACAGTCGAGTGAAACATATCTGTTTCAGCAGAGCAGCAGGACCACTTTCGCGGCTGGGCCACAGGACATCCAAGGTCAGTAGTCCCTGCAGCCGCTAGGGCTGCTAGGGCAGACTCGCAGCTTACATTGCAGTCAGCCGGGTATGCTTAAAACTCAGGCGTAAGCTCAAGGTACTGGCAGGCGACTGAAGACCAGAGACAAACCTGAGCAGGATCCAAGCGCATGAGCGAGAAATGAAAGTCCTCGATAAACGCTGGCAGTAGATGGCGATTCGATGCGACATCTATTCTGGGCAAACGACTCTTGGTCCTCGTCCGCGAACCAGGGGCATTGTGAGAATCGCACTCGCACCATGGCAGGCCTCGAAGCACAGTTCTGCTGTTGCCAGACACTCCAACTAAATCAAAACGCTCGGCTCAGATCCCTGCAAGGCACAAGGGGACGAGTTGTGCGTTACGGGTCGCTGAGGGTTCAGAACCAGTGCGGCTGCGGCACTGGTGACTGAGGTGCAGCTTCGGGAAACTGCGCAAACATTGAAAGATGCTGGTATGACTGCGTCAGAATGTTTGCAGCGGTAGCCTGACTAGGTCCTGCAACATCGTCATCAACCAGAGTGCCTGGAAATGCGACACAACCACCTGCTAATGTTTGCATGAACATCTTCGCGAACTTACACAGTCATGCATATCAATGCGATGAACTTGGTAAGCAAGCGGTACATCTAGGTTATTAGGTGCATCAGCCTGTCAATCAAATCGCACCATATGTAAATGGTCGAGGTTATGGCATCAGATTGAGCAACAGGATGGCACCGGACGAGCCAACATGCTGTATGACTTAATAGCGACGGGATGATCTCCGAAGTGAGTGTTTCTTTTCTAGGAAGCACTCTTGAAGCGATCTATACTGTCGAATGCTGTGCGGGACGCACGGCTGCACTGCACTAAGCTGATAGGCTATTACAGTTAGCACCGTCGCTGTCGGACAGGCAGTTCAGACAGGCGAGAACTGAGTTCCCGTGCCAAGCACGGGCTCGAAATAACCTGGGGCATACTGCATTTTTGCGTTTGGCTTGTTCTTATAAGAACCGACACGTAGACACGTACGAACTGATCTCCCGCTACCATGCAAAGGTTCGAGATACGCTGGGGTCTACAGTTTTCACCCGTCTGACCTGAACAGAGGGCTATAAGGTAGCCAGCGAGGTTCTGCAGAACAGACACATATGAACCCAGTTCCGCTACCGTGCAAGTGTTCGAGATACCCTTGGGCATACATCTTTCACTCACGTTTGCGTCTGACTCGAATGCAGAGCTATAATATGGTTATAGCCAGGTTCTTCAGAGCAGACACATATGAACCTAGCTCCGCTACCATGCAAGGGTTTCGAGACTGAAATACCCTTGGACCTACGACTTTCACTCACTCTTGCGTCTGACCCGAACGGTGAGCTATAGTATAGACCAAATTTTCCAAGCAGACACGTTTGAACCGAGCTCCGCAACCATGCAAGGGTTCGAGATACCCTTGGGCATACATCTTTCACTCGTGTTTGCATCTGACTCGAATGCAGTGCTATAATATGGTTTTAGCCAGGTTCTTCGGAGCAGACACATATGAACCTGGCTCCGCTACCATGCAAGGATTTCGAGACTGAAATTCCCTTGGACCTACAACTTTCACTCGCTCCTCCGTCTGACCCGAACGGTGAGCCATAGTATAGACCAAATTTTCCAAGCAGACACGTTTGAACCGAGCTCCGCAACCATGCAAGGGTTTGTCTCACAGTTATCCTAGACCCTCACATCTCCCCTTCAAAACGTGTTGCCTTTTGCCCGGTCGTTGTCATGTTTATGCCGTGAATGGCTTCAAACGCGGTGCTCCAAGAACTTGTAACGAATTGCTAATCGCTAGATATGCCTTGCTCAGCCAAAAAAACAAAGCTTAAAATAAACTGTGAACTAACTGCATGGCTCAATCACGCTCTCAACCAGCTCAATCAAAAAATCGCGAGAGTTACCGCTGGGGGGCTACCCCACTGACGTAGGCCGAAGCCAAAGTTGAAGACAGCTTTTAAACCTGCACAGGGCGGCCGGTTCGCCTCAGGGCGGCCGGCTCGCTTGTCGTCTTGTGAGAGCCGGCTCGCCTAAGGGCGGCCGGCTCGCTTGTCGTCCTGAAGGCTTAACAGGTCGTCGAAATGTTTATGCCTTGCATGGCTTCAATCGCGGTGCTCCAAGAACTTGTAACGAATTGCTAGTCGCCAGATATGCCTTGCTCAGCAACAAAAGCAAAGCTTAAAACAAATTGTGAAGTAACTGCATGGCTCAATCTCGCTCTCAACCAGCTCAATAAAAAAATTCGCGAGAGCTACCGCTGGGGGGCTACCCCACTGACGTAGGCCGAAGCCAAAGTTGAAGACAGCTTTTAAACCTGCACAGGGCGGCCGGCTCGCCTAAGGGCGGCCGGCTCGCCTGTCGTCTTGAAGGCGGCTAGCTCGCCAAAGGGCGGCCGGCTCGCCTGTCGTTTTGTGGGAAGCCGGCTCGCCTAATGGGCGGCCGGCTCGTTTGTCGTCTTGAAGGCGGCTAGCTCGCCAAAGGGCGGCTGGCTCACCTGTCGTCTTGACCGCGGTCGGGTCGCTGAAGAGCGGTCGGCTTCCCTGTGCTGCTTGCTTGCTAAGACAGCACCCTTCAAATTTCACGCTTCTCCCTTTGCTTCAAGTCTAGCATGTTGGATCACCAGGTAAAGCTGGAAACAGCTATTCCTGAAAAGAACAGCTGGCGCAAGACTGCTTGCCTTGTTTCACAGTTATCCTAGACCCTCACATCTCTCCTTCAAGACAGGTTGCCTTTTGCCATGTCGTTGAAATGTTTAGGCCTTGAATGGCTTCAATCATGACCTTCCAGACACCTGTAACGAATTGCTAGTGGCGAGATATGCCTTGCTCAGCAACAGAAGCAAAGCTTGAAGTAAAGCCTGAAGCGACTGCATGGCTCAACCTCGCCCTCAACCAGCTCAGTAAAAAAATCGCGAGAGCTACCGCTGGGGGGCTACCCCACTGACGTAGGCCGAAGCCAAAGTTGAAGACAGCTTTTACACTGCACAGGGCGGCCGGCTCGCCTAAGGGCGGCCGGCTCGCCAAGGGCGGCCGGCTCGCCAAAGGGCGGCCGGCTCGCCTGAGGGCGGCCAGCTCGCCTAGGGGCGGCCGGCTCGCCAAAGGGCGGCCGGCTCGCCTAAGGGCGGCCGGCTCGCCTGTCGTCTTGCGGGCAGCCGGCTCGCCTAGAGGCGGCCGGCTCGCTTGGATTCTTGACGACGGCCGTCCCACTTTAACGTGGTGAACTCGCTGTCGGGCGTCCAACTCGTAGTGCTTCTTGGTGACTTTTGATATCAAGTGAGCTTCGAGATGTGAGCGCAACAGGCGCGCTCTGTGTATTTGGACGTTAGTAAAAACAAGAAAGAGATCGGACGAGCCATCATGAACACGAGTGCCCTTGTAGAATTCGGGTATAGGGATTAGAGGTGCTTAAGTTAATGCCGTCTAGAAGATTAAAATCACACCCGTGCGCGTTTTCTTTACCCGGTGCCGCTTGCCGGGGAGTCGCCTGGGGCCTGACAAGGCCAGGTCCACTCATTTTTGGAAGCAATTTCTTATGCTTACACGGCATTAACTTCAAGCAAATTCTCTATCTAGTTACAATAGAGCTTCTAGCCCCCCCTCTGTATATAATTGACGGGGGGCTGGAAACCCGTAATAACAGTATTTATCATATGGACTTGGGAAAATACTATCTTGTGTTTAAGGGAACTTTCTATAAATTACAAAAAACATACAAGCAAACTCGCCTGCGCCAGGCAGAAGGAACCTGGATTGTTGTTTCATGAGCATGTCGATATCACACAGCATCAGTATCTAGACTACCCTCACAAGCATCAAGAGCATCATCACCACAAGATAAAAAGTAAACAAAACAACAAAAGAATGAAAGGCGAACCTTGCATGTCCGTTTCTACATGAGTACACAGGTTCAAGAAAAACATTGCTGGCAAGATCTGACGCAATGTATAAATAATAAAAGGCTACTGTTCTGTGTATGATACATGTTCATGTACATGGGGGCCTGGGCGTGCGAGGGGGCTGGGCCTGGAAGATAGGGCTAAGGGTTGGGGGGAGGAGGCAAAAACTGGAGGCTGGGTTGGGGCTGGTGGGGGCTGGGGCTGGGGGAATCAGCTTCATAGTTTTCATAGTTTTAATAGTTTTCAAAGTTTTCAGACTTTCCGGATGGCCGAAACTTTGAAAACTATGAAAACCCTGCTGCCGAAACTTTGAAAACTATGAAAACCAGGATTCGGCTCTCATAGCTTTCATAGTTTTAATAGCTTTCAAAGCTTTCATCGTTTTCCAACTTTCCGGATGGCCGAAACTTTGGAAACTATGAAAACTATGAAAACTTTGAAAACTATGAAAACCAGGATTCGGCTCTCATAGCTTTCATAGTTTTAATAGCTTTCAAAGCTTTCATAGTTTTCCAACTTTCCGGATGGCCGAAACTTTGAAAACTATGAAAACTATGAAAACTTTGAAAACCAGGATTCGGCTTTCATAGTTTTCATAGTTTTAATAGTTTTCAAAGTTTTCAGACTTTCCGGATGGCTGAAACTTTGAAAACTATGAAAACCCTGCTGCCGAAACTTTGAAAACTATGAAAACTATGAAAACTTTGAAAACTATGAAAACCAGGATTCGGCTCTCATAGCTTTCATAGTTTTAATAGCTTTCAAAGCTTTCATAGTTTTCAAACTTTCCGGATGGCCGAAACTTTGAAAACTATGAAAACCAGCTGCCGAAACTTTGAAAACTATGAAAACTATGAAAACTTTGAAAACCAGGATTCGGCTTTCATAGTTTTCATAGTTTTAATAGTTTTCAAAGTTTTCAGACTTTCCGGATGGCCGAAACTTTGAAAACTATGAAAACCCTGCTGCCGAAACTTTGAAAACTATGAAAACTATGAAAACTTTGAAAACTATGAAAACCAGGATTCGGCTCTCATAGTTTTCATAGTTTTAATAGTTTTCATAGTTTTCAAAGTTTCGGCAGCAGGGTTTTCATAGTTTTCAATTTTTCGGCCATCCGGAAAGTCTGAAAACTTTGAAAACTATTAAAACTATGAGAACTATGAAAGCCGAATCCTGGTTTTCAAAGTTTTCATAGTTTTCAAACTTTCCGGATGGCCGAAACTTTGAAAACTATGAAAACAATGAAAAATTTGAAAACTATGAACACCCGGATTCGGCTTTCATAGTTTTCATAGTTTTCAAAGTTTTCCAACTTTCCGGATGGCCGAAACTTTGAAAACTATGAAAACCAGCTGCCGAAACTTTGAAAACTATGAAAACTATGAAAACTTTGAAAACCAGGATTCGGCTTTCATAGTTTTCATAGTTTTAATACTTTTCAAAGTTTTCAGACTTTCCGGATGGCCGAAACTTTGAAAGCTATGAAAACCCTGCTGCCGAAACTTTGAAAATATGAAAACTATGAAAACTTTGAAAACTATGAAAACCAGGACTCGGCTCTCATAGTTTTCATAGTTTTAATAGTTTTCAAAGTTTTCATAGTTTTCCGGATGGCCGAAACTTTGAAAACTATGAAAACTTTGAAAACTGTGAAAACCAGGATTCGGCTTTCATAGTTTTCATAGTTTTCAAAGTTTTCAAACTTTCCGGATGGCCGAAACTTTGAAAACTATGAAAACCAGCTGCAGAAAATTTGAAAACTATGAAAACTTTGAAAACCAGGATTCGGCTTTCATGGTTTTCATAGTTTTAATAGTTTTCAAAGTTTTCAATCTTTAAAAACTATGAAAACCAGGATTCGGCTCTCTTAGTTTTCATAGTTTTAATAGTTTTCAAAGTTTTCATAGTTTTCAATCTTTCCGGATGGCCGAAACTTTGAAAACTATGAAAACCAGAATCGGCCTTCATAGCTTTCATAGTTTTAACAGCTTTCAAAGCTTTCATAGTTTTCTAACTTTCCGGATGGCAGAAACTTTGAAAACTATGAAAACTTTGAAAACCAGGATTCGGCTTTCATGGTTTTCATAGTTTTCAAAGTTTTCAGACTTTCCCGATGGCTGAAACTTTGAAAACTATGAAAACCCTGCTGCCGAAACTTTGAAAACTATGAAAACTTTGAAAACCAGGATTCGGCTCTCATAGCTTTCATAGTTTTAATAGCTTTCAAAGCTTTCATAGTTTTCAAACTTTCCGGATGGCCGAAACTTTGAAAACTATGAAAACCAGCTGCCGAAACTTTGAAAACTATGAAAACTTTGAAAACCAGGATTCGGCTTTCATAGTTTTCATAGTTTTAATAGTTTTCAAAGTTTTCAGACTTTCCGGATGGCCGAAACTTTGAAAACTATGAAAACCCTGCTGCCGAAACTATAAAAACTATGAAAACCAAGGATCAGCTTTCATAGTTTTCAAAGTTTTCATAGTTTTTAAACTTTTCGGACCGCCGAAATTTTGAAAACTATGAAAACCCTGCTGCCGAAAAATTGAAAACTCAAAACTATGAAGAACTAGGAAAACCAGAGTTCAATCACATAGTACAGAAAGGTTTCTCTTACATATATATATATATATACATATACATATATACATACCTATATATATATATATATACACACATACATATATACATACATATATATATACACATATACATCTATACATATATACATATATATATATATATATATATATATACATACATATATACACATATACATATGTACATATCATACATATCATACATATCATACATATCATACATATCATACATATCATACATATCATATATATATATATATATATATATATATATATATATATGTAATTGAACTTCGCTCGATTCCTCGATTGATTTTACAAATCCGCCGCTCGATTCTTCGCTCGATTCCTCGATTGATTTTATATTGAACCTCGCTCGATTCCTCGATTGATTTTATACTCCCATGTGCTTCTGTATCCTCGCTTGATTTTATCTATCGAACGCTTGAAAAAAATATTTTTCAATCGGCGCTTGAAAAAATCAATCTCGCTCGAAAAAAATCAATCTGAGAGCCTATGGGGAAGGAATGCACAGGCGAATCCAAAGACCGCATCCTCCGCTTCAAGAACCGCTAGAAGCACGCCAAGCCTCATCGTGCAAATACCCCTACCTCAACCAACCTGTTGCCTTCGAGGTCTGTACTTTTCAATGTGATATAAATTACGATTCTGTTATAGTGGAATAAAGTATGGTACAACACTGTATTGAATTACTAATCAAAGGTCAATCCAAAGACTGATCCCCCCAGGCCTCAGTGACTCAGTGGATGCCTGGGCCCTGAAAGTTTCCAACCCTTTTCAACCCCGCCCCCCGAGCCGAAGAGAACTCACATGAAAACAGAACCAGATATGTAAAGCCTCGCGGCCTAGCCAAAGACATAGAAGTCTCGCAGCAGCAGTGGATATTGCGGCATTGGGCTTTGGGATTCCGGGTTTGCAATCAGGGTCTAGAGTTTGGGATGCCCTGCCTCGAAGTCGAGCTTCAAGCCTTCTGTCAAGAACATGGCCACCAGCTTCACCTCCGAACCGGTTTCCAGACTCAGCTTTGGGGCTTCCGAGTAGCCACGATGTCGTGTAGGCTCAGGATTTGCACTGCAAGCGAGTTTAGGGTTTAGCGGCTTAGGGGTTTGGGGCTTACGGTTTAGGGCAGCATGTCGGCTGCGAGCTTGAGATCCAGGGCTTCAGCCGTGAAACCTAAACAGACAAGCTTCTAGGGAGTTGTCAGGGGAAGCTGTGGAGTCCCAATGCAACCTTTCGCCAAGAAGGACCGGAGCAGCTTTCGACTGCGGGCATCCCCGAACCCATAGAGCCCAATATCCCTTAACGCGGGATAACTACCGCTTTTGTGTTAGGAGGGTCCAGGGTTCCTGTAAGTAAAGGGTACCATAACGGTTCCTTTAGGCGATCTATAGGGGTTTAGGGTTTTAGGGTTCTATCATGTCCTATCAGTCTGAAGACATTGGCACAACCCTAAACCCCAAACCTTGGATGCTGGGCCTTGTCGTCCTTGGCAATCACGGTCCACCCGGTCCCATCCACCAGCTTCTTGGGTTCGCCCAGTCCTCCGCCCGCTAGTATAGGACGGATTTGCAGAACACTAATAAGGTGTAATGCTTTGATCGCTTGCATTATGTACGCCGAGGTATGAGGGTCAATGACCCACTTTGGCCACATGCACGGCGATGATGATGAGCACCTTCTACAGCAACTCAAGTACCTGCATCAATCAATCGTACTGGGGACCCCGGCAGCATCTTCAGTTTACAGGACAGCTCTCGGTAGTGAGATCCAAGCCATAATAAACGCTGACACCCAAAGCAATAAGCCCTAAGCCTTAAGCCACAAACCCTGACAGAACCTAAACCCCTAACCACCAACTGATTCTGTCCTCCAATGACCTCAAGGTCGATATCCACCTGCCGGACATCGGCTGGGATGTCGACGGCTTCAGGTACGCTTGTTACTTCTGTCTACTACAACTAGAAGTTGGGTCAGGTGAGGCTACCTTCCTTGTCTTGAATTGGCATAGAAAGGCGAAGAAGCCCAGAGCCAGCTCAACCCAAATAGTCCGATCGAGACCTGATAAGCCCACAGAAAACCTTCCTGCAACACATCTAGCCAGAAGGACTCTCTTGACAAGAAAGACGAATCACAATGCATGGCGAAGAGAACCCACTGAAAACCGGGCCAGTCGACTATGGAAGCGGAATCTATGGGTTTGGAGTTTTGGGTCCTATAAAGAAACATAAACCCAAAAATGCCAGCCCTGCGTCTTCAACCCACCACCCCCATACCCGCAAACGCGAAACCCCAAGCCCTGAAGCTGCAGCTCTAGAGCCCCTTCGTATCCACCCTGCCTTGCCCAAGTCTACCATCTCTTCGACCGACACGGCTACGCTGTGCCTCTGCCCCTGGAACAGGGCTTCTCAGGGAGGGCTCATGCTTCTCAAGGCCTTTGGGGGTGCAGGTTTCGGGGTCCCGGGTTTCTTTTTGGGCTGATGGTGTGGGGACGTAGGGTCTGGAGAGCTAAGGGGCTTCGAATACTAGAGGCCGAGCTTACCTTATGTCCTTGATGGTGGGGTGGGGATTTGGGAATGAAAGACAGTCTATACGGCCGAAGCATCGAACCCCAAATCTTGAACCCGGAAAAGCCCTAAGGCTCCGCAGAAGTCCCATCCCTTTTCATGATCACATACACCAGCAAGGCTTCCTCTTTAGCCCCAATACGGCCTCTAAACGTTTCTCACACCCGAACCATCGCAATGGCCTTCCAGGTGCAAGCGACGGTGAAATCCGTCTGGCCGGAAGGATCCACATCGACCTCGACTCGGGCTTGCTTCGGCAATACAAACGATGAATCGGGAGTACGCATTTCAAGAGTTACTTATTCTGAGTTCCTTCAACATGTCCACACAGAGGTCGTTTTTTGCAGAGGTTAAGGTACTATAGGGGCCTTAAAAATTGACTATACTATTTTGCGGGGTCCTTATTATATGTGAGTATACTACAATGGGCCCCAAAACCCTGTCTAAGCATTAAGGCCCCTACCTTAATCCTTGCGGATCGAATCACTGCGGTCAACCCGGGCTCCGGACCCACGCATCGACGTTGTCGCCACCACTCTGGAGCAGTTTCGTCCGAGCCTCCCAGCCCAGGTAATATGGGGGCCTTCATCATTGAACCCGGGTTGTGGTGTACGCTTGGGCAAGGAGCTGTATATAATAAGTATTACTCATCAATTCCAGAAGTCTTCATGGTGAAATGTGTCTTGCAGGAGCCGTTCCAACGGCAGCTCTGGGTTCGGGGTTGGTAGTTTCGGGCTTTGGGGAGGCTTGGTATCCGGTTATCATGGATTGGGTTTAGGGCTTCGGCGGGGGGTGAATTCGGGGGGGGGGGGGGGGGGGGGGGCTCGGAGTCCAGGGCTTCAGATTTCGAGTCTGGCTGCCTGGCTTACATCCACGCCTTAAGCACCGCACGTTAGTGAATGATTTCGACATCTGACGCTCGGTCTTCTACAATCTACAACAGAGAATTAAGCCAGAAGAGTTCATAGTATATTTGAGACTTGTCGAAATCGTAATGGTGCTAATAACGACAACAATTGTGCACTGTGCGAGCACGTGCAAGTCAGACATGCGAGTAAGAGCCAGAATGCTATGCACCGCTGGACACTTTGCTGTCAGATGGAGGACAGCAGACGAATGGAAAGGGGTAAGCGTGAGAGTCTGTCATGCACGCATACATGCAGGTCCGATATCTTTGAAATTCTTTCGGATTGCTGAGGACTCTGGAAAGGTTTCTGTTGCCTAGACTCAAGGACCCAGGGACACGTTGGGCATCAAGCTTTAAGCCTCAAGCCTGCACAACATGGATAATCTGAGCTGGGTTCGTGCACTTCCAAAAAGCTGCCAAAACCGCTGCTGCTGCCATTGGGGTCGAAAGCGTGAACCAAGCCAGAAGCACAAGCCCAAGCCCCGAGCACTACTAAACTCAACACTGCTGCAGGCGGAAAAGCGCCACAAACGCTTGGCTTCTAGAACTGCAGCAAGCTGTGACTCTCTGTGGCCCCTGGCGCCAAGCCCGTCATCTCCTGAAGACAAATCTGCCCAAGCCTCCGCTATCGCAGCGGCGGGGGGTGCGCAAGCAAACTGCAAGCGCAGGCGCTTGGCTCCGTAGGAGACCTTCGCCGCGGCACTTTCTGCGTCTCAGGTCGAACCCTAAACCCTAACCCTAAGGCTAAAAATAGCCCAAAAGCCTTACATATTATGGTCTTTGGGCCCAAAAGCCTTAAAATATGAGTCCTTAGAGCCTTAGGGTAGATGGGTGACTTCCGAACTGAAGCGCTCGCGGGCGTGCGTCGAGGCTTGTGGGTCGATATAAGTAGGCTTATAAGTAGCGGACCTACTTGAGCAAACAGCTTTGATGCTATACTTAGATATTTGCTTATGCTTGAATATAAAAAGCTAATTAAGTGTATATATATATATATATGTGTGTGTGTGTAAATAATGTACATTCATACATTCATACATACAGACAGACGGACGGACAAACAGACAGTAGGCACGGATCAAACAGACAGAGGCAGGGATTTTATACCACACAATTGACGGGTATTTTACTATCCCTAGAAGTTGTTCGGCCTATGACTGCCCATATCTCACAAAGGGTCACGTTTGCGAACGGAGCATTTTCAACCCCAAGATCTCCTCGGAAGGAAAGTGAGCCAGCCCAAGTCCGGATGCCGTCAGACTGTTGTCCAGAACTGAAGACTGAACGGAACGAAGACTACAACTATATATTACCCAAAAGCATTGACAACTTGTTCAGTGAGCCTTGGTTCAACTCAGTAGGCAAACTACACTACGCCGCATTCATCAACTTGCAAACCCTACCAGCCCCAAAAACCCAAACCTTGAACCTGAATCCTAAACTCAATAAATCTTCATTCTGCATGATGGGCTTTGCAAAACCACGCTCGTTTCAGGTCGTCTCAATTTCAAGTCGTATTTCTCGTGCAAGGCGACTGCCAAACCGATACTTCGGCTCCCTGGTGCTTAGTAGGGAATGGGGGAATGGATCCCTAAAGTAGCCCCTTTTTAATACGCAATACTAGTCTCCATAATCCATTCCCTACTAGGCCCTACTAAGAATCAGGCAGTCGGTGGAAGATTCAGAGATTTCTTGGCAAGCATTCAGGCTGAACGTCAATGTTGCAGAGGGGATCAGGAAGGTTCGCTTGGCCCGGAGATTCCAATCCAAAGCTGAGAGACAAGCAGCTGCTAAACCTCCTAAACCCTAAACCCTAAACCTTAACTAAAGATCAAGGCTCCCAGGTTCTTACCTTTGGTTTGGAGGGAATGTGGGGAATGGGGTTAAAAGTATAACTACGATTACTACCATTCTTCCATTCCCTACGAACCAAAGGTAAAAGGATTTGAGGATGTAGGGGTTTGAGCTTCGGGGTTCGGGAATTCAATTCATCGGTTTTGGGTCTAGGCTTTGCTTTCTGTTCTAGTCCCAGTGTAGAGGCTTATGGGGCTTTACAGCGCCGGTCCGAGCACAGTAGCCAGTTGATTACACCGGTCCTTGGGCCGGGAGCACTAAAGGCCTAAACCCTAAAACCTTAAAGCCTCTTGTTGCCTCAAAGCGCTTGAAATCCGAAGCCCTATACCATACTTACCCGTAACCCGGTAAGCCCTACAAACCCTATAAAACACTTGGCTGCAAACCAACCCGCTGTAGAAGATGGTCTTGGACATCGCCTTCACAAGAGCTTGGGCTTCGCTTGGGCTTAGTGCATATTGGTATTGTCCCCTTTCTAGATTCCCTGTATAGTGCTGCACCCTTATAAAAAAAGGCCATATAAAGGGACCCTCATTTAGAGAATTATCCATATATCAAATGTCGGGTTAGGACTTAAGTTCCAGGATTAGGGATTTCGGGAATTCCGCAACCTGCATGGGGGAGTGTTGAAACCCTCTTTCCAAGCCTCCGTCTGAAAGCTTATAGAAATGCTAAGCGTCAGACAACAGCAAAGTAGGTACGTGTATCGTACAGAGTAGCCGCCCTACATCCATCTCTTGTGGTCAGGAGTGTCGAATAGTGTGTACGGTTTATTGCTGCTCATGCTGCCACGCAAGTCCTGTGCAAGAATAAATTTGCCAGTCCACATATTGGCACACTGTGCCAACTTGTCGCTGGGGAATTGGTAAGTAAGGTTATAAGTAGGCTATATTTAGGATAACCCCACTTAGGGGACTTATAACCCCAATTTATAACCTACTTACTAAGTCCCAGGATCCTCTAAGTACTGTCCACAGTCAACCTTAGCTCAGTGGTTGTGATTTCGAATGTTGTAAACCCTCAACCCTAAACCCTACGGGCTGCTAATGATGTTGCTGCTAGTACTCGATCGTACTCATGAAACGCGGCTTGTCATCTGAAATCACCACTGAGCACAATCTTGAGAAGACAGCAGATGCCTTGAAAGTCGGCCGGAGCTGAACCACCTTGACATGTTACTATAGGGGCCTGAATATTTAGAATGGAGTTTTGGGGATATTAGACTGTACTTATGATTCAAGAACCCCAAAATAGTATTGGTATGTATTTAGGTCCCTGTATTACAAGGCAGACAGTTGGCGGGAATCGGAGGGACTGCGGACAGCTGAACACATGACCGAACTGTTCTTGCAGGAGGTATTTGCATGAACAGCAGAATGAATGCGCGACTGTGGGTCTTATGACTGAAAGATTGATGGCTATACCACAGTCAACATAGGCTGCGTCGACATGTGCGTGGAAGCGACTGGCTGCTCACATTATGCATCTGCCTTAGCATTCACTTTAGACATGCCGAATGAGCAGTAAGTCCCACAATACGGGCGGACAGCTTGAGCGTCTGCACCTGAAACCGGAACCACAAGCATTCGACATGCGAAACAGAAGCACAAGTGTGGGATCATCTCGACATCTTTGCAAACATAGTTTCAAGGAGCCCGTGTACCGCAAGATTTCACAAGAGCAGCTATCTCGTCCCGAGGACATGCCATTCCGAGAACCCTATAACACGGGGTTCTCGGAAAAATGGGCAAAGCTCGAAGCCCAATACTCGAAGATCAAGCCGCGTTGTAGAGATCATCCTCGAATTTGAGCCGCGTGGGCCTCAACTGCAGATTGGGCTGAGGGTAGTTTAGGGTGTATTGGGTTTAGAATTAGTAGCTGAGTCTAGGTCGTTGCAGGCTGGGCGAAGATGAGAGTTATGGAGTTTGGATGCATTCGCAACCACCTGTCTACATACTCGGTCCTTAGAAGCATGGTGCTGGCTGAATTCGACTTTAACACCGTACACCCTAAACCCATACTAAAACCTGGCAGTGATCTACTTTTTTGGTATTTTTGGATATCACGGAGCCGAAGAGCAACCACAGATGCTAGGTACCGTGAAACGGGATTGAACAGACGTAGTTTTTTCGGGACAGCAGACCTGCTACAAGAGGTACTTGAATTTATTGTGATAAAGAACTTCCAAACCCCGAAGAACCCGCAAAGCCCTTTTACAAGTCCACCATCTCTAAATCCTTCTCGGCATCATATAGGGGCCTGGATAATTGTTTTGGGTTATATTGTACTACAAGTAAAATAAAGAAGCCCCAAAGTAGTATTGGTAGTTATTTAAGCCCCTACATTACCGTCATTCACAGAGCCACCCACGCACTCTTTTCGCAGCGCAAGTTTGCTCAAGGCATACGCCGATCCCCGGAAGCGTAGGAGGGTGGAAGGTGGATGTCCTGACGGAGCCCAGGTATTAGGGTCTAGGGTTTACGAGCTTTGGGTTTGTAGGGTTATAGGGTTTAGGAGTTTAAGGGTAGCACTTTCAAGTTGCTTGTCTTCTTGTCTTGAGATTTAGGGCTCAGGCTTCATTTAGCTAGCTGCACAGGCACCCCGGATACTGGTTGCTTTTCTACGTATTGTTGTATTTACGGACAGCATACAACCCAGCCGCTGCAAGGCATTCGTTCAGATGTTCATGCTGAGGGTTCATAGCTTTTTTCGAGCTGCTTAACAAACAACATCATGCAGCCAGACTCCGCTAGTGTAGGGTTTAGGGTCTAGCTAGACGTCGGGTTTTCATATCGGAGGCGGAACTCAGGATTCCCTTGCTTTGGTCTTGCTTAACCCATAGTGATAGGCGTGGAGATTCTAACTGTCTTTGCGGATCTCCAGCCCCTAAACACTGACCCTTGTAAACCCAAACTCGAAACCCTAAACCCCCGGCCCAAGTTCCGGAGAGACAGCCTCCAATCCAGAAACCTCGCCAGAGTCTTAAAAAAGCGGCGGCGTCTAATGCATCGGCTTAAAACCTGGAAATAACCCTACTAACAAACACTACTTTATTTACAGTTAGACAGGCCCCATATAATAATATAGAAGAAGACATGTTAAGTTGAGCGTTCGGGTTTGTCCTGGTCACCCATGAGGCCCCACTTGATGTAGTCCTGGCCAATCCACCGTGGCTGTCTTGATGCAAATTCCGACAGGCTACACTGACATAGTGATGGCAAGGGGCGTCTCAAAACTGCAGAAACTATCTTTGTAAACCGTGAACCCTAAACCCTCTCTCACATATCTAAGGAACGCCTACTCGCGGTGAACTCCGAGTCTCCGGGAGAACATCCCGGACTGATCCTTCAAGTTTGTCAAGACCTTGCACTGCTCATCTGAAACCCGGAAGCCACCCTAACCGCTGTCCATCAAAGCTTGTTCAGCATCTGAGAAAAAGGGGCGCTGCCCTTAGTCAGATGTTAGTACGAGAGCACACTATCATGAACCTACACCGTCCATCCGCAAGCAGAATGCCTCCTACTGCAAGCCAAATAACAAAAATGACTTAAAGCCATGAGCTGAAACAACCCATAATCCCTGAATCCTCAACCCTAAACCCTCAACCGTTAATAACCCTAAATTTTAACACACACACACACACACACACCCTAATAGCCCTGAACCCTAAACCCCCCTTGAGGTGGATCCCAGCACCCGTGATCCGCCTCGCCCTCTGCCGCCTTGTACTCGTCACTCAAGGACACCACCACCTGGCATTATTCATCATAGTATATTGTAGCTTCGGGGCTGAACGCCCTAGCCCAAAAAAACTTAACCTCTTGAATTATGGTTGGGTTATATAAACCCCAAGAGGGTAAAGGTTGCCTACTCCGCTACAAAGATAGTATATTGCAGTATATTGTAGCCTGGAAGATGAAGGTATATTGTGCTCTGCTCTTGTATAGTACTGTCAATTACAGTCTATGATAGTCTGCCACAAAGAAACTGCTCAAAAGAGGCCAGGGGCCCGAACTCTACACCCTCAGTCCTATAACACTGCACATGGCCCAAAACCCCAAAGCCCACAGCGAAAAGATCCACCATAAACTGACGGGTGGGCCCTAATGTTACGGACCCGGCATTTCAACCCTAAACCCTCGATAACCTGTTGATGATGCCATGAGAATGCTGTCATCTGCCTCTTTGGCGTGGTCGAACTCGTCTAGACTCTCTGCGAAGAGCGACTCTTGCCTGTTGCGGGGGCTTGGATGTGAGGCTTGAAATGGCCAAGTTATATATCCACAAGGATACAGCAACTGACGGATTACGAACACCGCAAACTGAAAAGCCTTCGAGTATTCGATGACGGCAAAAACTAGTAACTTGTGTTGCAAGCTCGGCGAGATGTTGGGCAATACTGGGAGCTACTATGCCCACGCCTACTGCATGGTGACACCGTTGATGGTATAAATCTTGCATCACAATGACCCTAGACTATGAGAATGGTATATTCCTTGCTATGGGGAATGCAGGGATTCATATCATCAACCGCAGATTCTAATTTCTTCGTCTCTATAGAAAGCTCTCTCAACTGCCAAGGCCCAGAACCCTGAAGCCTGTATCCCTAAGGGTCGATGTACCTAAACAGTATATACTTTGGGCCCAATGTAGTATTTGGGTACATGGACGCTTAGGGTATTCCCGAAACCTGCGAGGTCATACCCTACACCGTGTTTACGGCAGCGGCCTACTTCTTTATAAAACAGTCACAAAACCAGACATTCTCGGCTTGCATAAAAAATGGTAGGGTATGTCCGTCTAGGTCAAACTAACAACATTGAAACCTGCTCTGGGTTTTTGTGGGCCAGACGCTGAAGCCTAAGCCCCCAAAACCCGCCAGCCTGGACCATAAACCCCTTACGCATGAAAATCCCAAACTCAAATTCCACAACCCAGAACCCCTTAAGCCCCCGAAAATTCTCGAACCCTCAACCCCGACACAAACGGCTGCCTGTAGTTTTCCAGGAAGGCGTTGCGAGACCGCAGCTTGTCGTACCTGAGCCAGGCAAGGAACGGTTTAGGGGGCTTTTGATTTCGAACTCGGGTTGTATGCGACTTATTATTCATTTGTTTATTTATGTATATATATATATATACACATATTATATACACATATGTATTGACTTGTGTATTTATACACTTGCATACATACATGTGCACCGGGGGGTAGGTAGAAGCTCCATAGCGGCTTTGCATGGAGCTCCGGGGCTGGGGTCCAGGGCTTGGGAGCTGCAGAGGTTTCGGCGGTTTGCCAGTGTTAGGGTTGGGGTGCGGCGGTTTCGAGTTGACCAGATTTCAGCATGTACGAGCTTACAGGACTTTGCAAAAACAGCCGTAAACGCGGCAATATCTCTTGCAAAATACTATAAGCCGAAGTTGTACAGCTCTATTAGTCGAGACGACCCCTTTGTTCTTCTCGGTACGGGGAGTGGTTGCGGCACTCTCAGTTCTGGATTGCAGCAGACCTGACTTAGAACGACAGCCTTTTGTTTTGGAAAGAGGAGGCGTTGGGGTTTTTGAGGTTTGGGAATGACTCCGTCCTTGGCGTGAACGGGTAGCTGTCACTGTTACAATACATGTGTCAAGTCGTGCAGCTGAACGTCTAAGCAGCCTATTGTAGAATATGTCTGGCATATGATAAGGCTCGCCGTCGAATGTCAGGCTGTGTGAGCAGGACGTCAGCTTCTGCTGTACTGAAGAGTCTAGAGGGCTTAGGTCTGGTTTGCACAATGCAACTCCCCGAGAGGCCACACTCCCTGTAAATGAAGGATAAATCACAACCTCAGATTTACTTATTTAATACAATACATCTGTATATATATATATATATATATATATATATATATATATACATCTGTATATATATATATATATGTGTATATATGTGTGTGTGTATACAAATATATACACGGTTCAGGGTTTAGGGCTTAAGGTTTAGCATATCTATATATGTATATATAGCGTAGAAGTTAAAAACAACAACGAAGTGGACCCCTTGTCGACGGACCGACCGAAAGATCGATGGTCGATGGATCCAACAATACATACGTCAATAGATAGCCAGACACAAATGGATATAGGATGGCTGGATGGATGGATAAACAGCCCTGATCTGGGCTCCCTGGGTGCTTTGCAGATCAAGACGCTGCTTCACGCAACGATCGAAGAGCTGGCAGATGGCGGTGTGGTTTGCCAGCATGAGGCCATTCACCTCTTCGGGCTTCGGTGTTGGGCGTTTACGGCCACCCACCCACGCACTATTTAACATCCACAGCCTCACCCCAACGACTCAGAAAGCACCATGAAAGGAAGCACTTTGCTAAGATTGGCCCAAGTAGTTGCTACCGAATCTCCATGCTTAACATCAGTTGCATGAACTTCGAAAACATAATGCCGCCTTGAGGACTCCTTCTGGCAGTCATGTACGAACAATTGCGGTAAAACTGTGCCTAGCCTATAGTCCCACCATAAGCAATGCGCGTCCTCTACGCTCAGCCACCAGTAGGTCCCGAATCCTACAGGGAACGCGGATAGCCTGCTAACAGCCCAGCCACCAGTAGAGCCTAAAATCTGAAGACAAGCCACCAGTAGGTCCTATACCCCAAAGCCCAACACCGCCAGGCTCTGAACCCTAAAGTCATGCAGGCCCTGTTGTCTGCCTGCTTATGATCTATGTATATTTAGTGTGTGGAAATCATCTTAAAAAGCAGAAAACGAGGGCGACATGGCTTGTGCTTGAGGGTTCGAAAAGGGTGACAGCAGAAACAATGAGGGGGGCCAGGTCAGGTCAGTCCCCAGATGACCATTTTCCAGACCACTGAATAGCCTTTGAATGCATATTGAGAGGTGGGGTTTAGGGCTTAGGCACGTAAGGATCTGCTGCCCTGGCTGTGCCCACGAGGGAGAGAATCTGGCATCATTCAAGTTGCTAGCCGTTAGGCATATCCCAAACCCGACGATAATCCCTGAAGCCTAGAGCTCTCAGACCCTGAGCCACAAAACCCCAAACCATGAACGTCTACGTTGCAAATCCCGAAATCCACAACCCCAGGCCTTGTGCGCGTGCTGAAGGTATGGGCTCTGCCGGGACAAGGCAACCTGAATACTCCTTGGCAGGCGACTTGTAACCGTAGTATAGACATAATACCGACCAGACACAGAATACAACACAAACACCAAGACTGATGACAGTCTACTGTCGTGGTAACATTGGGCTTCAGAACATTCAAGGGTTGGGTCTTGTTTTATACTTGGGGAGACGTAGCCCGCAGGGTTTGGAGGGACAACCAGCTTAAGAAGCATAACGCCCAATCTCCACATATCAGTATTTGTTGGAGGGTCATTGGCAACTTTCGACTTTTGCTGTGCTCTGTAGCTACCGGGAGTTGGTCTGCCTGCTTGAACACAGTAGCTTGAGGCTTGCGGTCCTTGTTTGCAGACCCATGCACATGAAGAATACCGGGTACGATGCGAAGGCTGAGACCAAAACCACCACTAAGGTCAAGAGTCAAGAGTTCTGGTTTGGGGTGCTGTGTTTAGGCTTAGGGGTATAGGGGCCTGAAAAATTAGCAATACTATGTTGGGGGGTTCCTTATTAGAGAGTTCTGGTGGGAGGAGCTTGCTCGAACCAGATGCTTGCTGTCTTGCGCTGGTGCTTTGCTGTGGAATCGTGAGAAAGAACAGCGTGCAGATAGATGAAGGCGAACTTCATGTTACTAACATACAGGGGTCTTGAAATTGAGCACTGGGTTTGTGGGTGTGTTGCACTATAACTATCTTGGGGACTCTAAGGGAATGATACGACGATTTATCTAGGTTCATGGAGCCGGCAATCATGGGCCTATCTTCGTCGGGGAGGCCTGCGAGCCAAAAGGCTCCTCTGGCTTCTGCTGGTTTAGAGTTTGCGAAGTCCCAAGGCTTCCAGGGGTTTTATGAAAGGGTCCTTAAGGGGTCTATAGGCCTTAATATAAGTCCTTGGAGGCATAGGGAGTTGTAGCAATACGAGAGCAGTCCCGGAAATCTTATTCTGCGTAAACTGCCAGCAGTAGAATCCAGCAGACCTGGAGACATGAACATGCGAGACGCATTCGACATCATTCAGTAGCGGAACATGGGTGACAATTCACGAGATCGCAGGGAATTCTGCGATAGCGGATACCTTAGCGAAACTAACGCCGGTACAGTCGAATCACCCGCTGTGCTTACGCATCGCCAGACAAGAACGCAGCAAGGCACTGGTTTGTCGATCATGTGCTCCAACAAGCTCGACTGCACTCGAACGCTCTGCGCAAGCTGTATCTCGCGAAACGGAATCTATGCACCAAAGCTGTCAAGAATGTCTGAAGTCCTGAGCCTCGCCATGCAGCTTCAAAACCTGAACCCCAAGACCTGTATCCCTCAGATCCCAAAACTCTTTAAAGGCTTAACGAAAACATCCGAAACGAAAAACCTCACGATAGCAGTACTGGTCACTAGTAGTTACACAGTCAGATTGCAATCATGACAGCACTACTGCCTACATGCTGAGGCTGCCAGTGCTAACTCGAAGCTATCAAAAAGCCAAGGAGGAGTCGTAGTATGTCGTAACGGTGTTGCCTGTTATAGACGATGGAGCTGATGAACCTAAGCCCAAAGCCCGAACCTTAAATCCTCTTCAAGCGGCGCTGGCCCCCAGCGAATGAACTTGGCCAGCTTCCTCTCACGGATCCTTCTGTCTGCAGGCTCTGCAGGGTGTGATACGGGTTTGAATCATGGGGTGGGAGCGAGTGTCTAGCTGATGGACTTAAGCTGAACTGTGTAGTACCTTGGTTTCTTGAGTTGTGAAAACTGCTGACCCTAGAGTACTGGCCTTTACGAATCTCCAGAAACGATGCCTTGAGCCAGGATGCTCCTCATTCAACACTTGGCCAGGAACCAGCTCATATCTTACAAAGACAGGTGGCAATTTAGTATTCCCACATAACCGTCGTTCAGCGTACGGAAAGCGTGCAGGGTTTTGTCCATGAGGCGTAGAACATTACGGGAGCACCAGTTCTGCCAGACCCGTCAGAAGACCGTGAACAATAACATACTGGAAGGACACCTCCATGCGGCGATTGCTAAACCCGAAACACTCCAATGGTCGAATTTGAACCTTAAACCCTAAAGTGCCTCGGCTAGTCAGGCCCGCATCCCAAAAGCAGCCTTCAGTGGGCACAACCCCTGTGTAGGATTCCTTTGGTTTTTGTGCTTTCGGAGTTCCGGCTTGCAGAGTCCTGTGTTTCGGAATTTCGATTTCCCGGATGCGGAGTTCGAGATTGAGTGTTTCAGTTGGTGCCAAGCCAAAACCAGAAACCCACAAACACTGGAGCACGAAACGGCTTGGTGTCAGATTCCTTGACCAACCTACCTAAGCCGTCAATCTTCTAATCCTGAACTACTGAGCCCGACATCCCTGACAGCTCACCCTGCTGATGTCCCCGACGACTCTGGAGCTAATAAGTTTGAGTCCGCCCTGTCTTTAGAGTTAGCCTAAGGGTCCATGTGCGCATATAGCACATACTTGGATCCTAACCAACCCATATAGGCACTACTTTACGGCCAAGGTATATACTAGATGAGCACATGGACCCTCAGGGCTTGTGTTCAAGATTTGAGGGTTCATGCTTTCAAGCCACACGCATTACATGCACGTCGGAACAACATTATGTAAGCCTGAATAGGGGGGCTCCCTGGCACCCCCTGAGGTCACGTCAGCTGCTTCAAACATGTGGGTGGTTGTCAAAATTAGGGTCCCTTTTGGGGTACCCTAACTATTAGGTGCCGTCTTATATTAAGGACCCAAAAAGGGACCCTAATTTTGACAACCACCCATGTACATGTGGCCCTGTGTTCAGCAAGTGGTACCAAACTCCAGTGAGACTGGCTCGAAGACACTCCTCTGCAAGCTCTTGTGAACCTGCGTTGGGTCAACATCGCCCTGGATGATGTTCAGGATCGAGATGTAGACCTGAGACAGAAGGCAAGCATCTTCAGTCCAAAGGACGACCAGGACACATGATATGCTCTCATCGAGTGACGGTACAAGAAGAACACAGGAAATTGACGGCGGCAAGGACCGCTGTCGCGCTTGCAAAGGTATCGGTCAGCGTGGCCACAGTAGGTATAAGTCTGGGTTTGGCAGACGAAGGGTATTCTGTATGGCCGAACCTGAACCTCAGAACCCTCCAGATCTGAGCAAGCACGTCACATAAGGAACCCATGGAGCCAAAGCCCACGGGTGCCACCAAGCCGGGCTACGCCTCTCCGAGTAGAACATGACACCATGATGTTCTTTGTGTGTAGTAGGCGTCGCATCACATCAAGTACCTGAGATGACACACTCAGCCCGGTGGTTTAAAGGGATCTGGCCGCGCTGTTATCCTGAAGAGGACATCGCAGTTCGAGTCGTGTTTTTACATTGTTGTTGAATCCGCCAGTGGGTCTGTGGGTCGTGAAAACGGTCGGTTCGAGGATAGAAGCACAGAAGCAAGCGGGACACAAGCAGGACAGCTACGACCATCATCCACCTGAGCTCTACCAACGATACCTGCAAGCTTGCTGATAGGTGTCCCTCAACCCTTATACCCCTAAACACGTAAACCCTAACCTTAAACCCTCATACCAGGAACCCTACACCCTCAACCCTAAACCCCAAGATCCCAAACCCTAAAGCCCAAGATCCCAAGCACAGTGAACAGTGAAGCTATCAACCCGAAAGCGCGTGCCAGGCATTTTTCCGGAGGCATTGGGGGAAGTTTCTTGCGCGCTCGACATGATTCTCCCACGGATCTGGGGATCAGGCTTCATGATCCGAATCTCCTAGATCGACCTCCGTTCGCTGTCATTGCGATTGGAATCACTGTAGAGCAGTAGAAGAAGTAGTAGTAGTTGCTGCGCTTGTCGTTGTTGTTGTTATCTTTGTTGCTGTTATTGTTATTGTTGTTATTGTTGCTGTTGTTGCTGTTGCTGTTGTGGTTGTTGTTGTTGTGGTTGTTGTGGTTGTGTACATACACGCATATCGGTATATGTCTACGAAAACACACATATAAGTATGTGCCTGAATACATAGTTCAAAAGTACCATAATTCCACGTATATGTGAATGTATGCATTTTGAAGCACATCTTTATGTGCATTGTATACACACATGTATGTGTTTATATACATGTATGTATGCAAATTTGACATGTATTAGTATACTTATATTTAGATTTGTACACGTATCTTCATATTTCGATAGTTATATTCATACCTGTATTTATACATGCTCAAACACATATATATATATATATATATATATATATACATATATATATACACACATACGTACATACATACGTAGCCAACCTTTGCAGAACATCCGACCGGATCGAAACCTCATGTCTGAAAAAAGCGTGCAAGACGAGCCCATATTGCTCGATGGTCCGATTGGCTCAGGGTGTCGGGTTTCGGCTTGAGGGTTTAGCTTGACTCGTGACTATAAGGGTATGTTATTTGCAAATTGTTCCGACCCCTCTTCGATGGTTTCAGGATTCAGAGCTTCAGTTTTACAGGTCTTGCGCACTCTGCGGTATAGGTTTCAGGGCTTGGAGTATAAATAGGGTTCAAGATTTCAGCACCCCGTAGGCCTGGAGAAAAGCACCAACCCCCGATACTACGTTTTGTGGCATCTTTCAACCAATGAGCCACTCTAATATATAGGGGCCTGAATAATTGGAATAAGGTTGTTTGGCTGGTTTGTAGAAAGGAACCTAAAGGACTCACATTGGTAATTATATGGGCTTCTATGAGGCTTGCCTTCAGTTTCCCTTGTGGAACCTTTTCCAAAGGGTCCAAAGTACCTATATAGTAGAGTGTATAGGGTTTCCATGCTAGGAATTACTATTTAATTTTTGGGGAAGTATCCCCCATAACACTACCTAGGACCCTTTGGGTTTGGAAAGGAGCAGTACGTCATCACCTGTCCAGCTTCTCGGGTTTCGCCTTGTAGCCCAAAAGCAAAAGCCGATTCAGAAGTTTTGAAGAAATGCGGTAGCAAAAGGGGTCTTGGGGTTTGGGGTGTAAGGGTTGAGGGCCTGGATCCGTGAACTCGGAAAACAGCTGTTAAAGGGAAACCGTGTTATCTTGCTCAGGCTTCCATTGTTGCTTACCACAGTCCGACTCTCTGAGCCTTTTCGGCCCTAAAACTACGCACTGTAGTCTTCCGCATCCTGCGTCTCTTCCTCTCGATCACTTCTTGACCTCATGATTGTGAGACAAGCACTGTCTTGCGACAGTGATTGCTATTTCTGTGTATTGCTTGAGACATATTCCAGGTGTCCTGAGCCTCACGTGATGCAAAGCTCAGTGGACGAAGAGGTTCTTCATCTGAAGACGCACCTGCATCGTTGGCTCCTTTGCCGCCAGAAACAGAATAAAAATCCTATTCTTATCAATCCCCTTAAGTTATACTATAAGAAAACAAAACATGATTCCCAAGAGCAGTAAAGCCTCGTAGTTTGAACCAGAACCAGAACCGGAACCGGCATCCGAAAGGTGCTCGACACTCTCGTCATCCACCTCCTTCTCAGTCGGGCGGTTGTGCTTCAAAGCCTTGGGGTCCTGGGTTTAGGGTTCTCTGTTGGGTGCCCTAAACCCTAAACAAACCCCTACTGACATAGGTTTCTGGCGGGCAGACGCCCCATCGGCAATACAGCTACGCCCGCTTCGGCATTGTCTTGGCGCTTTCGAGGCCCGTAGATTTCAAGCTGCCTAAACAGGCGTCATGAACGACGTCACACCCGATGCTCCGAACCTTATATGACCCTAAAGCATGTTAAGCCTTGAACCCTAAACCCTGAAAAACCCTCCCTCCCCGCCGCTCCCCTTCCCCACTTCGCCGCCTCAACCTCGCAGACCTCCATGAGCCCTGAGAGCATCGTATCAGCACTCGTAAAGGGCGAGAAGAGCTTGGTACCACGTAACCTGGTTCTGGCTGAGGAACTTGATTCAAGTTGTAAGGGTTCGAGAAGGCTTCTTGACAAGTCGACAAGATGGCTTCCTTGTTATGTTAGCTTAGATTAAACTCCTTACCCAGACCAGTAACGGGTGCTCCGTCGTTGGCAATCCAGAGAAATGCGCGTTCACGTGCGCCTGCCAGCCGAAAAACCCTAACCCGAGCTCTGGTACAGGGTCCTTACAGAAGATGCCTTTAAATTTTGCCGATGGTGATTCCAGTGAAAAACTTCTATGTGGTTGTGTGGCGTTTTCAGACGCAGGCATTCTCAGATCTGTTGCGCCTGAATCCAGTTCTGGACGCTGTCGCGATACGTAGGCTTGACCCACTCGAGGAAGTACGGCACCTGAACCGACAAATCCCGAAGCCCTAAAACCTTTGCACTCATCTTTTACACTACCTAGACCCCCCAACTACCCTCTGTCAAACCCCCAACTCACAATTCAGGACCATAAGGGCTCTATTAAAGGGCCCTTAGTGGGTCCTGGTAAACCTCCCGAAGTCTGAAGATTTCCTGCACCTGATCCAAACTCCACTCCAGAGGGGTTTAGGGTTTGGGGTTTACCGAAGACCCCGGCACCCGATCCCAAGCTTAAGGCGAATGGCGCGCTTTAACTGTGGAGGGTTCGGAGATGGCAGGAACCTAATGGTTGGAATGGGCTCTGGATAGACTAGGCCGTGACTGTAAAGGTCGTAGGGAGCAGAGACATCAAGCTAAAGCTCCAGCACAAGGCATGGGAGATCTCTTATTCAAGCATGGTTGCAACTAGAACTAAACCTCTCCGGTATCTTGGGGTTCAGGGTTCATGCATTGATCCCGGAATCCATCGGCACCACGCCATGCTCGTTCTCGTCACTACTGGACGGCTTTTACTGTCCTTGACTCTCCTTCTTATGTCTCGTAGGGATGAAATTTATAAGAGACTCCAGCACTTCACTGTTACTGGCTCGAAGCCCCAATTCCTCTAGTCGGTAAAAGCGTGAACACCGAGCCCCACCCAGTGGTGGTTTGCAGGATTACCCGTAAACCCTAAGTATGGTCAGGCACAAAGCAAGAAAGCTAGAAGCAGCGAACATGAAGCTAACATGAAGCCCTGCAAATAGTTCATCCAACAGCCTCCACGGATTCATGATAATATTCCTCATACGAAACTCTACTGTTGTGTACTGTGCTGTGCTGTCCATATTGTATTGCGCACCGCACTTTTCAGTGCGAGATACACTGACATGTTTCCAGATTCCTATGATCCGGAAGAAAAAAGCCTGTACTGACACAACCAAAGCACAAGCAGTACCGAGCCCAAAATGCATACTGCTTGCCGACCTACCGGGCTGACCGCCCAAAGCAACCAATTCAGTCAACGTACCCTGCACCACAAAAACCCTAAACCCTAAACCCTGAAACCCAAGACGTTACCTTAACCCTGAATAACCTACCTGTTTAGGGTCCTTCTTATGATTTCCTTCTACAACTCCTTAAACATGTAGGTTCTTCGGGGCTTAAGCCAAGCCCTAAACGATGGCTTCCATGGTTTGCAGCCGAGGATCTTCGGCTCTCGTAGATCTGAGTTCAAACCGTTCTTGGGGGTTCATGGATAGTTACAAGTAGGGATATAAGTAGTGCTAAAGGGTTCTATAGGGTTTAGGGATTAGTGTTTAGGATAGTTACAAGTAGGGCTTCTAAGTAAGGCAACTATACTTATAACATCTTATAACCCAGATTAAGGGGAGTTATACCCCCACTATATTACTACCCATGAACCTCCAAGTTCTCACTCCGTGACATTTAGCGGAAGAAGAGGGTTTAGGGTTTAGGGGTTCTCTTTCAGTGACGTTTAGGGAACCATAGGTAGGAGTCCTTGTAGGGATTATGATCTACAGCCTAGGCTTTAGGTGGCCTTCGGCGAGGAAACTTATTATCTTACTATGATTTGAGGCTCTATTTGTGGATCCCTGGCTTGCTGAATTAATACTTAGGGGTACTTAGAAATAATTTTTCATTTTTGGTTACTATAATCCCCAAGAAACAGCTAAAATTACATTTTTTGCGAGGGTTCTAAGTTCAGTATAGTACATAATGTTATGAGGATCCTACAGTCTATCGACATGACCATCGGACCCTGTTTTGAGGAGTGCAGGTTCCAACCTTCGGGGTGGAGGGGACTTCCAGAACGCTCTCGACACAAGGTCCTTCAGTTCCAACGAACCGTCCGTGTACTCCCCGGTAGCCCACTACCATGGAAGACCCTTATTTCCAAAATTGCACGGGGATCCTGAACCGACTTGTCCATTATCCACGGGAACTAAGGGTTACAGGCTAACCTTTGGGAACATATTGGGATTATATAGGGATGATAGTACCCCATAAAGCTTAAAGGCTGCCTACTCTACGTCTGGGTGATAATCTCCTTCACAAAGGCACGTCGGGCCTGGTCTGATTCCGAAGGCTCAAGCGAGCATAAGCTCGACACGGCTTTCTGCTGGGAATATCTGAGATGTTAGCTTTGGAACCCCTCCGTTCCTTCGAGAGATTCAGCTCGGGAAACTACGGCTACAACCAACCTTTCAAAGCCGCCATCAAGGTCAAGTGACTCATCTGCATCCCTGAAAGAGAGCTGGACCGTTTTGATCGCAAAATCGTCCTTGCACGGCTTGCCGGAGCTCATCTAAGGGTTTCGGTGTTCAAGGTTTGGGAATGATGTTTCGTGTATCAATACAGTATAACATTTTCATTAGTAGCATACACAGTATCATATTCTATTGTACTGCAAGCTGGTGGTCTTCCAATCTCGCCCTGTGACTTCATTTTCGCCCTCACTTGCTACATGCATCTCTTGATTTCCAAACTACTCCAAGAAAATTTGGCATTGCTTCTGCCCCTAGAGTGCCAGAATGCCTGGGATTCTCAAGTTTTGCGATTTGGCGATACAGGATCTGGGCTAAAGACCGGATGTTAGGCTTGAGGGCTTCAGGAGCTTGTCGGGATGCGTGACTCACCCCCATGTAGATCAAGCTTGTGGCACTTCGAGATGCGGGCTTGTCCATCTTTGTATGTATGTATGTATGTATATATATATATATATATATATATGTATAACACGACAAGCACAACTGGCGGCCCAACACCATACAAATAGCTTCTAAACCCTCAAAGACCTCAAAGGTCGGTTTGATGGACACCAAGAGCAGTCCTCGTCAGTGTTGACCGTGAGAAGGCAGTCCACCTGGGGACTCCCGCGAGCCCGCAGTGCAGAGCTTTCTCTGGGTTTTTCTCTGGGTTTTGGGTTTTAGGGTGTAGGGTTTCAGCAGGGTTTAGGGTTTAAGGATTCGGGTTTGGAGCTCAGTGCATGGGCGTTAGAGTTTGGGTTTTAAGGGTTTTGGACAGCTCTTAACAAGGGCTTTGTAACGCTTTTCGAGCCGCTGCTTCTTGTACATAAGAGCTTGTTGATGGGCTTGCTTGTTCATAGGGATGGAACAAACTCGACACAGATGGGTTTCGTTACAGGGCATCCAAACATGACTCAGAGCTTGGAGGTCTTTAGAATCGTAAAAGATGTCGAGGGTCAAGGGGTCTAGTCTTTTCGTTCTGGTTTACGGCGTAGCAGACCCTACAGGGCTAAAGGCTCTTGGGGGTTGATTCTGCAAGCGTTTCCAAGCACCTATAATTATCAGATACGCGACCCCATGGTGCCCCAAAATCAGGTACTCTGATCCACATGCACCATCACGCCATGCGATCGTGTGTCGCACGAGCACAACAGGTGGCTACAGCCAGGACTTCGGAACAAATATGCTCTTTCCTTTATGCGGAAGTCTCGTGTCGCTGCAATAACGAAGGTACTACTGCTACTACTACCACCACTACTACTACGGCACTACTACTGCTACTACTACTACAACAACAGTTGGCTCAATAGAAGGATAATGCTGCAGAGAAGTGCCACGACATCATGCTCTTCCGTTGCTATGGCCGCATGTACAACAGACCCTACAGATATTCAGGACTTCAATGTCTTCTCTTTTCTGGCAAGTGAGCCTTCTCAAGCATGCGGAGCTCGACAACATCCTCGCGGGGTGGGGATGCACAAGCGGGGCACGATGCGAGACTGAGGGTGCTAGGATTCAGCGTGCTGAATGTTAATACCGTCATGCTTCATTGCTAACATGTTGTAATTCTTCTGAGTACGACCCTTGGTTCATGCTCGTAGACGCCCTGAGTCCTTTGGTCTGTGGCTGACAGCTCATCTCGCTGAAGCTTCACTTCGGGTTAAGGGGCCTAGAGTTTGGGTATTTAAAGAGGAATTCGCAACGCGGTCAATCTAGGGGTTCAGGGTTTAGGGCAGATGAGTTGCGCAGGAGAGTTGACTCCCAAAGAAGAAACCCAAAGCCTCAAGGCACTCAGAGAACCGATAATGCCAAACACTCGCTGCGATATGACGCGGTCCTGTGTGCGGCTGCTTTTTGTGCTGCTCCTGGTGGCGCTGGCTTCGCCCTCCGCTCGCCTCCTGAAATGGTCAAGGCCGTAAATGCCATCAAATCTGCTATACCTTTGTTGTGACTAATCGCTCGCAGCAGCATCGTCATCGGCATCAGCGCTGCTGTTAGCCCAACATATTGTTCCAACCAATATGTCACTGGCAGTAGTACCACTGTCGCCGCTGCTTTCTGTCTTCGCGATAAGAGTTAATGATGGTTAGAAAACTTGAGCCTTCGCATCGTGCTCACCACCGCCCTCCTCCTCCTCCTCCTCCTACTCCTCCGCATCATCATAACATCGGCATCATTCTGAATCTCAGGGCTTGCATTGTTTCTGCTCGGTACTCGGGATTCTGCTGCTTGCGTTGCCCTTGTCGTCGTCGTAGTAGTAGCGGTAAGAAGAAGAACCAGAACTAGGACTAGCTCTAGTACACACTAGTACAAGTTTCAGTACCAGCAGTCGTCGTGTCGGAGTGGTCGTGGTGGTCGTGGTGGCAGTGCTGCTCCTGCTAGTGCTGTGAACTGTATCCGCCGGAGCCAAACGCATGCTATCGAATGCTTTACTTGCCTCGTCTCCTACCGCCTGCCCATGATTGAGGAACGCTGCGACCATATTGTTGACACTAGCTTCTTCTGAATTTGAGGAGCTCCATCGGCACCATCAATAGTAGGGTAAACACCAACTCTGTCGGCATCGTCGCCGTGGTCGTCAAAACAGGACCAGAAAGAGAATAAGCTTGCATGGGATCTACAAGATCAAGATGCGAGCGTTCAAGACTTCGGGCTCAGGGACTAAGTTGGAGAGTATAGGCTTGGGGTGTAGGGTGTAAGATTTAGAATTAGGCCCCAGGCGTTGGAAAACAACCTTCACCTGCTTTCCGAACAATGTGAGATACGGGTTCGTCGGGTTGCCGAATAGGCGCCATCGAGACCTGCATGTGCTGATGATGACTCATGAACCAGAAGCGATTGCATGCTACTCACAGGCAAGCTTCTGGCCAATATTGCCGAAGTTGATCTTGCTGTCCAGCATCTGTCGCATGTCCTGTCAAAAGCGCCAAACTGCGAATGGCTCCCTGAATTTGGTCCAAGCTACATGAAACGCTCAGTTCAAAAGCTTAAAGTCACCTGAAACTCGCAAGGAACCCTAAGGAATAGTACTGCCCTAAGGCCCCAAAGTAGTTCCTTTTTGGGGTTCATACATAGAATCCTATTAATAAGGTAATCCCAAAAAGGAACTACTTTGGGGCCTATGGCCTATGGGTGGTATGTATTGGCAATTATTCCGACCCTTATCTAGGTGGGGCTTTTAATTCTTTTAAAAAATATTAGTAAATAAGATCCTCTTAAGCCCAATAAGGGAAATGTAAAATGTCCCAAAGTCCTACCTAGTTATACCACAGCCCGGTCCGACATCGGCAAGCTTGGTCGCGACAATCCCCCGTTTAAGCCTGGAGCTTCGCACAGATTCGGGGTTTACGGGCGCTGGAAGACAGGTTAAATCATGTAGTGGTTCCTCTTAAATAATCGGGAAAATCTTTCAATCAATCAGTATTGGAGTCGTCGGGTAGGCAGGTCATAAAGGTGAGGGTATTCAGTGTTTTGGGTGTATTGGATCTTTTGCCGGATCTAGCGGGCTACAAGAGTTCTCAGGGTTCTGCGGGTCGTTCCATAACGGGGTCTCGAAGTGTACTTGGAGGGGCAGGGGACTTAGTAGGTAGGTTATAAGTAGAGTTATAAGTACCCTAAATGGAGTTACCCCAATTATAACCCTACATATAAACGACTTACTAAGTCCCCCGCCCCTCAGCAAGTACTACGGTGTTAGGATTTCGCGGGGCTCTGGAGCTTCTGCGGTTTCGGTTTAGGGTTTAGGGTTTAGCGGTTAGGGTTTAGGGGTTTCGGGATTGGGTGTTTAGGCTTCAGGCCTTTCGCCTACTTGGAGGTTCATAGGTAGTTTTTAGGGTTATACGTAGGGCAACTATACTTATAACCCATAGTAGGGGACTTACAACCCCACGAAAAAGACTACCCTGAACCTTCAAGTAGGGGTTTGACCTGTTTGCAGAAGATAATGTAGTTTTGCTTTGGAGTTCTTGGAGTGTTGAAGTATTGAAGAGATTGTGCGACGCTATAGAGTGAGGACATGAGAATACAGAAGTATAGGGGCCTGAACAATTCGAACAGGACTTCAGGCGGGGCGGGGTATATCATAGCACAAGAACGGTATAATCATATAATATACGGGGCTTCATGAATAGAATAGGGTTTGGGAACTTTCCAGGACCCCTTATTGAGGAATGTTACTAGTTGTAGAGGGCCTTACCTTAATTAGAGATCATCATTATTCCGGCACCTAGAGATGAACCGAGATGGACTCCAAATAGATGAAACGTCCTCAATCAAGAGCCTTACTCCGTACTGAATTCAAGCGCTGCATGATAGGACGGTTCACAAAAAAAACATCTACGACAATAAGAACAACATCATACACAGGGCTGCCCATGTTGAGAGCTCTCCGATGAACGGCTGACCTTCCCGACCTGACCACTTGAAGGCTCATGGGACTTAGTAAGTAAGCTTATAAGTAGGTTATAATTAGGATAACCCCACTTAGGGGACTTATAACCCCAATTATAACCTACATACTAAGTCCCATGACCCTAAGGTTCGCACCCTTTTGCAGTTATAAGTGCCGGGCCTGCTGCCAACTGGGCCGGGTTTTCAGAAGGCGCTCCAGTTTGGTAAGTGCGCTCCCGAACCTCCTGTTTGGAAGACGGTACATTTCAAAAAAAACCTCCTGCTTTCGTCCGGGGCTGGGGGTTGGAGCTCCTCGGCATGCTGTGAACCGAGAAATTGAGCTGGGGATGATCGTCTTGTGCTGTTTGGGTTGGTGATGCCGTGACTAGTTGTCCCAGGTCTGGGGTTGGGATTGACAGCCGGGTCCAGTATCGCATCTCTGGGTCGCCCTTGTGGTCTCTGCAACCCCGAATTTCCACAACCCGGAACTTGATTTCCCAATTCGAACGAAAACGTCGCATAGTCCGAAGTAGTAAGATCCTTGCCACAAGGATCCCTAAACTCAGGTACCCTTGTTTTCTGAATCCCGCAAACCTATACAGAACTTAGACCCCTGTCCAAAATCATAAATTTCGCTGTTTCTTATGAGTTATAGGAACCAAAAAGTCAAAACATTTTGAAAGTACCTCCCCCCAAATATCCTGGTTCAGGCCGATGAGATGCTCCGGCTGCTCGGATGTCCTGCAGACGGACTCGGGACACTGCAGCATGTTCGGCTAATGACAAAGCATGTGATATAGGGGCCTTATAATAAAAACGTGGTTTTGGGGTATATGGTATTATAAGGATAATCAGGAACTCCGAAAGCAGAATAGGAAATTGGTAAGGCACCTATAGTACACTTTCCCCAAAATTCCCAAACACAAGGTATATACAGGGATATCGACCCCGCTTGACCAAGCCAACAATTAACGACCCGAAAGCTTCGCTACCCACGAGACAAAACTGCCCTCAACACGTTGAGTGATCAACCCCAAAGACGATTTGACAACAGTTCTAGTGAACAGTGGCTGAAGCCATCATAGAGTTTTCCACAGCGCCCGGAAGTGGACCCATATCACCCCTTTAGGACCTGTACAGAATCCTTTCTCGATTATTATAAGACCCAAAACCAAGCCCCAAAATTTGCAGCCCTGCGGGTCAGGCTTGGCACTGAAACATGGAAGAGCTCTGCGTTGAAGGGGATGCCGCTCGAATCCTTGAGCTGTAGATGCAGCGACCTGACATGGACTGGGGACATTTGGGCTGTGAAGTCTGGGCCGCACCAGGTAAAGTGAGAGGTAGGATGAGATATAGGGCTTTACAGACTGTGTCGGCTGCCGGAGCTTTGGGCAAGCAGAAAATTGGTTTGACGCTGTGGGTTTTGGAGGTTTGTGAACAGGAAATGTACTGCACCCTCTTGCATGGCGGATTTTTGTTAAAAAAAAAAACACTCTTTGTGGAAAGGAAATGTACTGCATCCTCTCGGGCCCGAGTGTTGAACGGGTCGCGGCCAGCACCCTCAGAAAAGCGGCATCATTGAAATTTCGCGACCAGAAGCAGTCGTCTAGAGTGGCGGCTGCTGGAACTCAGAGAAGCTATTGTGGCATGTAGTGCTTGCCTGTGATGGAAAGCGCTTGTGCGACTGACTTGGCTGAAGCAAAGGCAAGGTCCCGAAATCTAGCTTTCTCGCGAGAGCCGTCAAAGGACATCGGAGTCTGACTGGATTCGAAATTCAAGATTTCTAGGTTTAAGGAGCTTGGGATTTTGGTGGAATACCCTTGGGCTTTGTCCACACTGGCTCTTGGTTCTGATAACAGCCAGATACATGAACCAAACACCCCAATTTAAAACGCACCCTTGTGTCCACCTGAAATCGAACCTTTCTGAATAACCTTGCGCTGCTGGGGTTTCTGTTCCTTGCCTCGCAGGCGTGCTGCCTTTCGAGGACTCCGACAGGAAGTCCTCCAGCCGCTGCTGCTCCTGCTGACCCGGGCCCCCCGACACGCAACGGTCATTTTTCTACATACTTCCGGAGGTAGGCTTTTAGGTTAAAAAGCTTCAGGTCTGAGGCCTTGTCGTTTTTGGTAAGAAAGTTTCTGGACTTTGGGTTCTCCAGGTCCTTGGGTTTTCGCGGGGTCCTCCCAGCCGCCATCTATGTGCCACATTCCTAATACGGCGATTTCACTTTCGCACAGGGTCCTACGCTAAACCTCAACCCCCAAAACCCTTTTTTTCATAGGTCTTGAAGAACCTTGAGAGCCCTTTCCTGAGGGTCCATGTACCCAAGTAGTATATACTTTGGGCCCAATGTACCTATATAGGGACTACATGAAGGCCAATGTATATGCAATTTGGGTACATGGACCCTTAGGGCTTTACCATGCAGGAACCTTTAACGGAGCCCTCCACCCCCACAGCCTTTCGAGACTTCGGGGCGGGGGAGACCCCAGGCTCCAGGTTTACTTGGAGCTTCATGGGGTGGTTATAAGGGCTCCTTAGGGATCTATAGGGATTCTATAGGGGTATAGGGTTTAGGACCTTCTTGGAGGTTCGTGGGTAGTTATAAGGGCTCCTGTAAGCGTCCTATTAAAGGGATGTATAGGGATTCTATAAGGATATCGGGTTTAGGACCTACTTGGAGGTTCATGGGGGTAGTTCTACGTAGGGTTGTAACTAATTATACTTATAACCCATATTCGTGGACTTATAATTATAGCCCCACTTATAACTACTTTCAGAGTTCCGGAAGATTCCGCGTTGAAAGCTTACAGTCCCCGCACTGGCAACCATCCCAATTTCGATGGCCCCCACGTCGCTTCCACGAAACACGTTGGGACCTTGAGCAAACTACCTTCGCGATTTCCTACTACGAGCAACAACGTGAGGTCTTTCAGGGTTTAGGGGTTTAGGGTTGAGGCAGCACACCGAGCAAATTTCGGACGTGGGTTGAAATATATGGGCTTGTCTCTTGGCTCCTGCGGCACCACGTAGCGCGTGAAGGACACTCCTTCCAAGATCCTGTCGAGTTTGTTGCAAGTAGGGTTTAGTGAGTTCGGGGCCCCAAACCGTAAATTTGCGGGTCCGAATAATCAAGATCCTACTATTAAGGGTACTATGCTAGTGTCCCCAATTTTCGGAAACCCCCATGTACAAAACCCTGAACCCTATGGCTCGGAGGATAAAACCCGACTCAATCCCACTCTTTATGACCTTGGGACCTTGGCACTGAACAGTCAAACCACAGCCAATCAACTCAAAGACTACAAACAACGTCCACGCTCTGACCCATCCTGATTCCATAGATATTGGGTTTAAGGCTCAGGGTGTATTTGAAGGGTCGGAGGACTTGGTAGGTAGGGAATAAGTAGAGTTATATGTAATAACCCTAAAGCGGATCCCAGGGACTCTGCAAGTAGGAGAAAGCTTCAAGCCCAACCCTGACTAAGATATTGGAGACAGCATTTCAGACTCAGGCCCCTCCAAGCCTCAATCCTACATGTCGGGGATCATGGGGAACTAAAAGTTAACCTTTTTGGTTATATAGGGGTTATGTAGGGAAAGTACTACCCAAAACAGGTTAAAGGTTACCTACTCCACTACTAGGCAATTCGTAAACCTCAAGACCAAAACTCATAAACCCTGTAACCCATGCTCATAGAAACCAAAGGCCAAATGCGTAAATCATAAGTCCCTCGAGATCGCTGAGCTGACATAGAGCGCCGAAGGGTACGGTTTAAGGTTCAGGGTTTAATGTTTAGGGTTTAGGGTCTAGGGTGCTGCTGCTGCTGCTACTGCTACTACTACGAATACTGCTACTGCTACTGCTACTGCTACTGCTACTGCTACTGCTGCTACTGCTACTGCTACTGCTACTGCTACTGCTACTACTACTGCTACTACTACTACTACTACTACTACTACTACTACTACTGCCACTACCACTACTGCCACCGCAACTAGTGACCGTTACTATTACGTGTCCTCTTCCCCGAAGTGCCGAAGTCGCACATCAACAAGTCTGAGAGACCTGCTCTCCAACAGCCCACAGTCTATACGGTCTCATGAGGTTTTATAAGGTCTCTTAAGGTCTCATAAGGGCTGTATGAAGTTTGCGGTATGGCTCAGGGTGTTCATTATGAAGGGCCTAGGCTTAACGTTCTCAGGCTTTTCAGTCTGTGGGGCATGGGGAGAGGGCTTACGGTCTTGCAAGTGGGTTCGGGCTCCAGGCCCTGCCGTGAGCTCAAGAAGTCCTGTTACCCTCAACCGTGATCCCTAAAGCCCCTGTCGTAAAGCGAGTCATTCGGGCTCTGCTGGCCTTCCATCGGAGTTTCTGGAGGCTGGATTTAGGATTTGGGGATCAGGAACCTGGGTGTGGGTTGACTCGGCGTCTAGGCTTATGTGGTCGGTTATCTACAAGGATCCAGGAACACAGCAAATAAATGAATTGTGATATAAATGTGAAATAAATGTGAATGGGAATGTGAATGGAAATGTGAGAAAAATGAGACGAGCCGACAAATGTGAATGCAAATGTGAAAACAAATGTATTCCGAAATGTGAAAAAAATGTGAAAAAAAAGCAAACAAAAAGCAATGACAGCAGAGCTCATGTGGGAGGGCCATCAAAGGCAGTTCTAGTTGCAAATTCAAGCAACCAAACCTGTCAGCCAGAATTGTGATAAAGACCTTTTGCTGGGAAATGCTTGCATTTCTTTGCTGGGAAACTGTTCTGAAGCAACCAAACCTGTCAGCCAGGATGGGTAAAGATCTTTGATGGGAAATGCTTGCGCTATTACAAAGCAACCAAACATGTCAGCCAGGATTGGGGGAAAGATGTTAAGGGTTTAAGGGTTCCAGGGTTAAAAGTTAAAGGTCAAGAGTTTAAGGGCTTAAGGGTTTTAAGGTTTAAGGGTTATAAGGGTTAAGGGTTCAGGGTTGAGGATTCAGGGTTAAGGGTGAAGGATTAAGGGTTAAGGGTTCAGGGTTGAGGGTTAAGGGTGGAGGGTTAAGGGCTTAACAGCTTAAGGGTTTAAGGGTTAAGGGTTAGGAGTGGAGGGTTTAAGGGTTTAAGGGGTAAGGGTTACGGGTTTAGGGGTTTAAGGGTTGAGGGTTACGGGTTAAGGGTTAAGGGTGAATGGTTCAGGGCTAAGGGTTAAGCGTTGAGGGTTAAGGGTTTAAGGGTTTAAGAGTTCAGGGTTAAGGGCTTGAGGGCTTAACGGTTTAAGGATTTAAGGGTTAAGGGCTAAGGATTAAGGGTTGAGGGTTAACGGGTTAAGGGTTAAGAGTTCAGGGTTGAGGGTTTAGGGGTTAAGGGTTGAGGGTTAAGGCGGTTAAGGGTCAAGGGCGGAGGGTTAAGTAAGGGTTCAAGGGTTAACGTTAACGGTTAAGGCGTTTAAGGGTCAAGGGTCAAGAGTTAAGCGTTAAGGGTTAAGGGTTACGGGTTAGGGCGGTAAGGGGTTAAGTGTTAAGGGTTAAGGGTTCAAGGGTCTAAGGGTTTCATGGCTAAGGGTTAAGGGTTAAGGGTTTAAGGGTTTAAGGGTTTAAGGGTTAAGGCTTAAGGGATAAGGGTTCAGGGAGGGCTCAGGGTTAAGGGTTTAAGGGATAAGGGTTCAGGGTTGAGGGTTAAGGGTTAAGGGTTTAAGGTTAAGGGTTAAGGTTTTAACGGTTCAGGGTTAAGTTTTAAGGGTTTAGGGAAGTTTAGGGAGTTTAGGGATTTTAGACGGTTTAAGGGTTAAGGGTTAAGGGTTCAGGGTTCAGGGTCAAGTAAGTGTTAAGGATGAAGGGTTCAGGGTTAAGGGTAAGATTTGTTGCTCCACAAGCACAGCAGGCCAACAGCACTCTGAGCAATGTTCTTTCTATGGCATTCTATGGGTTCGATTGTATAGCATACAGCGTCATACTGGTTACTGCGCTGCTGGGTCAAGCCAATTCAACGACTACGAGTCGAGTCTAGCAGGGTTGCATTTGCTGTGGTTGCAGCTTGTTACAGCGTGTTGGCGCGGCTGAACCAATCGTAACTAGGCTAAGCAGCTAAACTAAACTCAACGAGTGGCTCGGCTAGACTGGCCTTCGCACTGGCTCAATGACGACAGGCTTCGATTAACGGCTAAAGTCTCTCTGTCACTGCACGGCACTGCTGCACTCACTACACCACTACACTCACGCCACGCTGCTTCCAGGAGCTTTCCTGCAAGAACTCGATGTTTGGACTCTAATCACACCAATATGTGAAATAAGTTCATCCACTCCAATATCTTTCGAAGTGTAGATATGCCCACAATCAGAAAAATATAATTCCGAATCTAAGATAAATGGCAAAAGTTCAATCAAATCATAGCTATGCCAGGTCAGCATGTGCAACAAGAAGTCTTTCACTGCACACTGACTGCAGCTGCCTCGCTTCAAGAAGCACCGATGTGAAAATCAGCACTTGAGTCACTTAAAATCGATCTGAAAGATCTTGAGCGCTTGAGAATCGATCACTCTGAACGGATTTGAATGCCAGCAGCTTACCCTGCCTGGCCCAAACTGGCCCCTGCAGAGCTCGGACACGGACACTTCTTCAGCTGTAAGACTGTAAGCTGCTCTTAAGTGCTAGCTGCTAGCTGCTAGTACATGTCTACATACATTCCAGGATGGCAGGCACCCAGTCTCCAAAACGCTACGTGGCTTCAGGCTCGCGCGGAGCTGCCGTGCTGCTAGCTCTAGCTGGCTTGCAGCACAGAAGCTTAAGATCACATGGAAAAATGCGGTGCTGAAAGAACTTGGCTCATCCAAGAACCTCCCGAGCTTTGCTTAGCAATGCTCCGCACACTGCCTGCTCATCAATCTCGCCCCCACTGATCTTCGCAATCTGGGACGTCAGGATTGCCTTGTTGGATGTGGCAAGCCCCAAATGCAAACAGGACTCCAGCATCAGGACCTTCACAGAAACAACACGGGCATTTGCATCTGCCATGGTGGACTCAGCGGACGTGTAGCCATCCCCTTCAATGATGTTCTTCTCATACAAGCCACCGTACTTGGACATCGACTGCTCAAGTCTGGTCATGGCCTGCATTGGATTTTGGGCTAGCTAGATTCGGCTTGATAATCAGATAGTCAGTCAGTTACAGTTAGTTACAGTAGGTTACAGCAAAAAGACTGACTAGTTGTGATTCATGACTAGTTATTTGTTTCATTAGAATAATTGAAATTCGAATGCCAGAAGCTGGATTCTACAATAAAGTCACTAAAGAACCCTCGTAGGCGTACACGATTCCTAGGTCCTACATTATGGCATAAAGGAACATAACATCTTGTGTATCTTCTCGGGTTCCCACTTTGACATTATGTCATTATGACCATTATGACATATGTGAGCGCGGGGCCCCAAGACTGCTGATTAAAATATGCTGGATTGCTCAATGCTGCTGCAGAACTGCAAGTGAAATGACCTCCACAGACACAGACACCTCTCCCACAGCGAAAAAACCCCAACCTCCATCCCTTTCCTCATGGCCCACGTCTCTGCTGCTGCCACCGACCACTGACTAGTGACTAGTGACTAGTGGCTAGTGGTGACTAGTGACTCATGACTCATGACGAGTGTGACCACTGTGAGTAGCGACTACAGTGACTGCAGTTTCCAAGATTTCTGGCACAAAGCAACACCATAACCACCATGACCTAACTATGCTTTTCATTCCACCTCAGCTCGGTGTGTGAGTGTCTAGTGTAGTGCACTGTTATGTGGAATGTAAACTTTTAAAAACTAGTAACTAGTAGACTTAATAGAATAGTAGTAGTGACTAGTAGAATAACAGAATCTAGAATCTAGAAAGTTCGAAAAAAGGTCGAGCAGAGAAAGTTCGAAAAACAAGGTCGATCACAAAAGTTAGGAAAAAAGGTCGAGCAAACATAAAAGTTCAAAAAAACGAGTCGAGCAACATCGAAGAACCCACAGGTGTAGCCATGTAACCATATCCACCACTTCACCAACCAACTCAATCCCTCAACCCACACCGCAAGCTCACAGAGCCTCGCGAAGGTTCTTGAAGTCAGTCTGCACCAAGCCTCCCTTGAGCGTGGCGATGGAGACCCCTGCCTTCTCCAGGACCTCCTCAGCATTATTGGCATCCTTGATGCCGAGCTTCCACGAGGTCGCTGCCAAGTCAAGATCCTGTGTGTGCGTGGACATCGTGGCCAAAATGTCCTGCACCTCCTTGATCTGTCCCTCGAACACTGAGGCCACACCTGCCTGCAACACATGCGTCTGCTTGAAGACCGCCTCCTTCACAGCGTCTCGCACACAGCACTTGAGCAAAGTGCCCTTGACCTTCTCCTTGGTCACGTTCGACTCCAAGTCCAAGCTTTGCTGGATGGCCCGCTCCATGCTGAGCATGGACTTTGCGTATTGGTCAAGGCGAACGTTCTTTGGGTCTCTCTGAACACGGACTGACGGTGTGATGCCAAGGGACCTGTAGGCCGCTTCGGTTCCTTTGGTAATCTGGCACTCGCGCAAAAGCGTGGTTTGCAGGGACCAGAAGTCACTGTTGAGCGCAGCCTTCTTTTGGATCGTGACAATCGCGGTGAATTCTGACTTCGAAATGTCACTGCCCTCCATCACCTCAGTGGTTGTAATTGTAGTCATTGTAGTCACTGTAGTCAAGCCAGCAAGCAATCAGCTACGAGTAAGTCAGTCTTGGGTTGTGTGCTGTGTTTTTTTTGCTGTGTCTGCAGAGACTTGGTCTGCGTCGGAATCGGCCCTAGGGCCCTAGGGGGTACAGGTTCTTTAGAGACTTTAGAGTTAGATTTGCCACTTCCATAATGCCATAATGGGTCTTTGGAGCCAATATTCAGGTTGAGTCGCTGAGCAGTTCCCGAATCAAGCTTGGGTTTTGTTTAGGACCTCATTGAACTCGTTGACCGCGATTAGACGACTGGGCGGTTAGGCTCACCAGGCTGACCGGACAACGCAAATCATCACTGCTGCCTGGAAGCTCTGATCTTCATGCTTTGCAGCATGTTCGGGAGGGCCTCGACACAGGCTTGCTTCACCTTGGCTCGACAAATTGCATCCAACTCTATGGGATACTGAACGATATTGGCTCATTGCTGATTCGGAAGATGAATGCCATGGCCCATGGCAGTTGTTCAGCTCTAATGACTCTAATCTAAAGAATGTTCCAACCTCTGATAGCGGATAGAGTCCGACAGCTGTCGTTTGGCCAGGCTTTAGGCCCAATACTATAAGACATGAGCCCGTTGTTTTCATATCATTGGCACCAAAGCCCCACATGACCTTGATTGGGTTCCAAGCAGCAGCAGTAGCAGCAGCGATAAAAATTCATTAGCCATTAAAACATTTCAACCAAGTCTATAGTCTCTGACAAACAGAAACAGAAATACAGTGATCATTAAATTCATTAAATGCAAGGCCTAGGGCCTCTGACCAGAGCGAGACCAGTACCCACGGTACCCGGTACCAGGAAACTGAAATAGCAAACCAAAGAAGGAATAGTCACTAATAGTTAATGGTGGAATAGCAACTGGAGTACCAGAGCCACTCGAGTCACCAGAGTAGTCACTAGATTCACTAGATTAGAATAGTTGGGTAAAGAGTAGTGATAATGACTGATACCGTAGTGTAGTTGAATAGCTGACTCGTTTATGATTTTATGAACCATCAGATAATCATCACTATCACGGGGCATCTGCAGTCAGCTCGTCCGGCAGACCACCGATGTTCTCGAGAGCAATCGCCACATCCTTCAACGGCAGGCTGCGCAGATTGTCCGGGGAGGCATCCAAAGGCACGCAACGAAGCACTGCCTCCACAAAGCCTTGCACACCCAAAGTTGTGCCGGCAGACTCCTTGAACTTCTCCAGCCGGTGAAGAAGCTCGACCGCTTCCTGATCCATCGGATACAACTCCAAGCCCTTGATGACGACACTCACCATCTCAAGGCTGACCGACTTCCTCTCGGCCTCGGGGACGTTCTCCGTCGCCAGGATTGTGGATGTCGCATCCCGGAGCTCAGACAGCAGCAGACTCGAAAGCTCACGAGTAGCACCGTCTCTCATCTTCTCCACATACACTGGCAACCGCATCAGGGCTTTCTTCATGAGGGTGATGTCCATCGCCTCCTTGCCCTCCCTCGCCTCCCTGACCATTGCCAGCATCTCCTCGTACTCACCCTTGATCGCGCGGGAAGAGCCTGCCTTCTTCTCCATCTCTTCTGCCAGCCCACTGTAAAACCCATTGCCTCCGAAAAGCAGGGACTTGGAGGTGACAATGATGTTGTGGCTGCTGGTCTCGTTCTTGAGAAACTGCAGATCGTCCATGCCAGCATTCTTGGAGCTTTCTGCAGGATCAAGCAGGGTCACAAAGGCAGCTGAAACATGGCGGATGCGCTCCAGCCCTGTCTGCACACCTGTCGGGATCCAGCTCTTGTCCGGGTCCTGCAAAGCCACAATCTCCTCAAGCAACGTAGAGCAGATGAACTTGATCACGTGGCAGGTGGCCTCGCCAGCAGCCAAAAGGTCGCATAGCCCATCTGTGTAGAATGCGCTGCACAGGCTGTCTCCCACGGCCTGACATCACGAAAAAGGTTCCGGCAATCGGCACTTGTTCAACGACTGAACAACCGTAATCAAGAGGAATCCAGCAACACAATAATCAGTAACTAGTAACCAGTAACTAGTAAACTTAGCAAACCCAGTAAACTGAAGCCAACTTCAAACTTTGAGAAAATCAGCTGGCAGCAGATCGGCTATGACAAGGGCTCTCGGCTCGGGTGATTTCTGGACCTAGACCTAGGACCTAGGACCTAGGACGGGACCTTTAGAACTTAAAGGCTGAGGGTTCACGCTGCAAGCCGCCGCAACTCTCCAGACTCCAGAATCCAAAAGCCCAAGAGTGCCCCAAACCATTACGACCAAACACAAAAACCCATAGCTTCAGACCATACTTGGCAAATCACCACAGTACAGTACAGTACAGTACTCAGTAAAGTAACTCAGCACAGCAGAGCACTCAGTACAATACAGCCATCACAGAGCTTCCAAAGCAACATGTCTTCCTGGGCCTCTTGCCTGCGGAAGGAAGAACAAACCAGGCTCGCTAGAATCACCAGAACACTAGAATCACTAGAACCAAACATATAAAACATCCAACAATCTGCAATCTACAATGTCTACAATCTTCCACAGATGAGGCTGACTTCATTGTTTTGTTACGTTGCCATCAGCCCAGCACACACAGCATGCGTTAAGAAATTAGGGTAGCAGCAGCTACAATCTACAAAGGAGAGTATCCTCCAACACGATCAATATCTATTCAATCGACTCCATTCCTATCTGGTTTGCGCTAATTCGCTAATCATATCAGTCATACCATGGCCTCGATTCCTACATGCATTCCATCACATAGGTTTGGAGTTTAGTTTAGAGCTTAAAGACACAGAAACAAGAATCCTGCCTGCCAAATTTCGTTGTGCTGCTCCATCATGGCAATCTCCTCAACAAGTTCGCATTCCCCGAGCTCCTGCGCCTGCTTGTCCGTGATGGCGGAAATCAAATTGGCATACGTAGGTCGAAGAACATCATCGGTCCCCTGAACATTGGCTTTCACCGGGACCAGCATCGTAACCAGGACCTGCACGGCCTCCAGCTGGGACAACTTCCTCAAAGCGTCATCCTTGGATCTGGCCTTCTCAGCCACATCTTTGATCTGCAGCCACAGGTGGGCAGCATGGCGTTCGGCCAACACCATGCGAACCTGAACTGGCAATTCGAAGTTGGCCCGCGTGACCAGGGTGACGGCTTGCTGCAGGGCCGTCTCTGAAAGGGAAGCACCACCTTGCGCAAGGCTTGCCGCTTTCTCGCACAAGGAAATTCTGTTCTCGAGCAGCAGCTTTGCTCCTCCGGTGAGGCGCTCCAAGAGCTTTTTTGCCTGGGAACTGCATTGGAATTGGAACTTATGTGCACCTGGACACCTAATGACTAATGACGACTGAGTAGTACTGCTTGCGAGCTACTGCCTTCATCATTGTCACTGAAGCAGGGCCAATGATGAAAAGATCTAGTTACTGTAGTTAATTCAGTGACTGAGTTACTCAGTTACTGCGTTACGGACACTGACAATCAGACTCAGAGGTGTCACAGCAATTTCCGAGGCCGGTACAGCAGCAACTCGGACGCCCAGTTTTTCTCCACGAAGATGTCTTGCCACGTCCAAGCCAAGCAAGCAAACCTGCTGGGGCTGACCCAGCTTTGCTTGCACCCGTTGCATTTCGCTGTCAAGCTGGCTCTCACCTTCAACCTCCGCACGGTCCTGGAGAGAGGGCTCAAATTTGAAGCAGGAACCTTCAACCCGAATGACACCAGCCAGCATAAAAGATCTTCAGAGAGGAATGGCAGTACAGGGGTACTAGAACACTCGATGCAAAATGACTTCATGGCGTGTTGGCCACTGAATCTGTTCCATGAACTTGGTACACTCACTACTCAACTCACTACTCACTAGTCACTAGTCACTACTCACTCAGTCCAGAAGTCACTGAAATAGCCTACCTACCAGGGCCTACCAGCCGAGCAACAAGTCAATGACCAATCGCATATCATAAAGTATGTTAAAAACACCTTTCACACTCGGGTCCTTCACCTTGGAAAGGCCTGACACTCCTGAGTTCCTGGAGCCCTGAGACAGCCTGGACCTTCCACCAAGAGATCTTGCAGGAGACGTCTCCCTTCTCACAGGCTCAGTCGGCTCGCGTGTGGTTGGGGGGGGGGCTGCAGTCGCCTTGGCCGCGGCTTTGGCCTTGCGCTTGGGTGCCCTTTTCAACTCCACCTGGGAAAGGGCTGAGCTGACTGCTATGCGGCCAGGCCCAACACCACGGGTGGGCCTTGTCTGTGCAATGACATCTTGCAGATCCTCCTCTGCAAGCTCTTCCTCGAGCTCCTCCTCCTCGCTTTCGACAGCAACAGCTGCTGCCTGTCAAAAGGCAGGCAGTCACTCAAAAAGGGTTTATGAAAAAACTGCACAAGGATCTGATCAGTCAGTGTCCAGGATAGTCACGGAAGCAGTGCAAAATAAGTAACTGGAAACTCGCAGCTAGCATTAACTAGCAGCCAACTAGCAGCAGTAACTCAGCAACAAGCATCCACTGACTATAACCAGTTAACTAGTGACTTGTGACTACCCTGACGACTAAGACTACTATAACCTCGTGACTAATGACTAGTGGCTAACGGCTAACGTGACTACTGGGTGACTACCGGTGACTACCGGGTGCCGGACTACTCGACTGACTACCGGACCAGTGACTGCCAGACTGGTGACTGGTGGGAACCACTGGCATCAGTAAACGTAGAACCCCAAGTAGATTCCTAGATTGCTAGATTCTGGGTGGTTAATACTAATTATTAGACACATAATACTAGTTACTAGAATGCAAACTGGCTTGAACCGGCAACCGGCAACCAGACCAACTTGCTACCCTGTTTCGTCGAGTCATTGTTGCAGAATGCAGAACTCATCAGACATGGTCATCTAACAGTATGGAACAGCTACGAATCTAGGACCATATCTACAATGACTGTAAAATGGGGTAACTATGGCAT